GTATAATTTTCCATTAAATGTGTTTTTTTCTGGTGCTGGAACATGAAAAACCTGTAATGGCTGTTTTGACTGGAATTTAAACGCTCATTCGGTCGACTGCAGGCAGAGATTCTGAACAAGGCCTTGGATTTCCTGACACAACCTTTAAAGTCCTAACAGATTATAACTCTGACTGCTTTCTGCAGATGTTCCTGCGTGACGGAAACACTGGGGATCAAACGCTACCCAACTTTAATTTCACTGAATCAAACGAAACTCTGAACTCACACAAACTCTTGTGTTCTCCTGTTACCAGGAAACACAGATAAACAGACGTGGAGCTGCTGCTGTTTTCTCTGCTGTTTGTTCTGACTCAGTAATGAGTCAGCAGGTAATCCTGTCTCAGTGAGGATCAACTCTGAGTCTAATCTAGTATAAACTGGTCAATGACTCAATCTGAATTCCTCCAACAGCCAATAAAAGCCGAGAGCACAAACGGGAGAAAATACAGCCAGTAAACGAAGAACAATGGTGAAAAGTCTCTCACGTCTGAGTTTAAGGCTCAATCGAGTTTATGACCATCTAAAACCCTAAAAAATACCAAACTGATCACATCTTTAATCCATGATCCCAAGGCTAGTGAAGCCAAGGCTTTAGAGGAGTCAGTTCAGATTGGGTCTCTGATCAGTTTATATTAGATTAGACTAGATCAAAAAAAACATATCTGATAAACTCTGACTCGTCTGAAACGTGATCAGGCATTAATATCTGACTCTGTGCCCCTCAAACTAACTAGCACTCATTATTTGAGGAAGATGTGTGGAACGAGGTTTGGAAGAATGTGAACTCTATCAGCATCTGCAACAAAGCAAAGGCTATTAAATCATCACAGTGAATTTGAGGAGGATTTTCTCCTACGAGTCCTAAATGTGAGGTAGAGACAGGCAGCCTCACTCATTGTTTGTGGACTTGTTACTCAATTCAAAAATTCTGGGGGGAGATCTCACAGGAACTGTACACTGGTAAAATGGGAGGTCAGCTCAACTCAAAATGATGTAGTAACTGATTACATGGCTTTTCCTGAGCTGACTCAACTTGAGGACACAGGATTTCACACAACTTAAACTTCTTAGTTGAGTCGAAATTTCTCTGAATGTTTTCATTCTTCACCTCAGATAAATCAATAAAATTAATTTGTTTTTTATGCTCAGTCTTGCAACTAGCCAGGACTCTCTCCATCACGCAGTCCTGCTAGGTGTCTTTCTTCTTGGATACGCACTTACTGATGGCTGTGGAATCACTGGGGCTCAAACTCACAACCTCCTGCTGGGATGATGGCTTAGCCCACTGCAGCACTCAGGATCACATGAAGCAGCTCAGATTTTGTGTCTACAAATGTTTAAAACACTGAAGAGAATATTAGTTGTTTTAACTTTAAAGCAGGGCGTCGTCCCATGTGGAGCAGCTGTCTAATAATTCATCCCAACATCAGGAGGTTGTGAGTTTGAATCCCAGCAATGCCACAGCTGTAAATATCCAGAAGCCCAAGAGGAAAACAGGCCAGATTGGACCGTATAATAGAAGGAGCGCCAGCTAGTGGGGAAACTGGGTAAAAAACACAAACTCAGTCTTGTTTATCTAACTGAGATGCAGAGCTCGAAACAGCAGCTGGGAGAACCTTTGACTCAGCTAAGCAGTTTGAGTTGGATGAACTCAACGTTGGGTCAACTCAAAAAAACCTGTGTAATCAGTTACTGTAAAATTTTAAGCTGAGCTGACGTCTCATTTTTTACAGTGTACAAGACGTTTGGAACTGACGTAAGAGGGGACCCATTGTGTTTAATGCTTGAGTAGCCAAATAAATATATTACAGATAAGTTTCAGAAAAAATCTGCAATGTGTTAACATTCTGTGCAAGGAAGCGCATTATTGAATAGTAATAATATGATAATTCACTGTGCTGCTCCTGAAATGTGGGTAAAGCTTCAGTCAGCATGAATGTTTGTGTCTGTAAGCTGGGTGTTTATTTTCCCTCCCTTTTCTCTGTGTTGTGCATGACTGATGAATGATTCCTATGTTGAGAAAAACATAATATTATTAGAAATTATTTGTAAACACATTAGTCAGCAGAAATGAGCGGTAATGTTGATCAAAGTGAAGCACAGGAACTCTTGGCTGTTATGCAGTATTATGGGATTTGGTCAAATTAAGGCACCTTAGCAGACAGCTGGCCTATGCTGCCTTCAGAACAGGACAACACCAATGTGACCTTAAATGCCGCCTACTTAGTCAGCTGCCTCCTGAAAGGACCACTCCAATGGTCTTGACTGCAACACTAATTGAAAGTGTTCAGTGCAGTGGTGGAGCTGAGATCCACCCATGCCCACAAACTCAGCTACCACAGTTACCGCAGGTGCCATGCAGATGCTGAGTGGTTAATAACCGCCTTCTACATGCTGATGGTTATCTGAAGAACTACTGGGTGGTATAAGAAAAAGATGGGACAACCCTGTTTTCAAGAGTTCTAGTTCATTAGGTCTACCAGGCTTGTAGCTACAGTCACTGGCCGTTTTATCTGAAACACCTACCATACCAGGTCGGTGTACAGTTAGAGACTCTAGCTTATCTGTTTCTGTACAGTTCATCACCCCCCCACCACATTCATCATTAGTCATTTTCTAACCACACGTCCACTGCTGTCACTGTTCTAGTACACTCTGGTTCTCTTGTTGGTGATGTACTAGTGTTGGTGACTTCATCTTCACCTGGCAGAGTAAAGAATTCACGAAAGTCTTATTAACTTCAGCAGCAGGTTTAAGCAAAGACAGAGCAGGAGATCTTCAAGTAACATTAGTTGAAGTTGGCACTGAGCTTGAGCACCAGAAGACCTTTGGTTCTGGACAGATGAACAGTGGAAAAAGAACACTTACCTTTTTCTGGAGCCAAAGTTCTGCTGCTTTATTTGGTGGAAAAAACACCCTAACTTCACATCAGCAGTGTGGACATCACACACCCTTAAAAATAACGGTTCTTCAAGGGTTCTTTAGTAAAGCAATGGTTCTGCATGCAATCATAACACTCAAAGAATCCTTTGCATGATTAACGGGTTCTCTGCATCGTGAAAGCATTCTTCGGATTAATGGAGAACGTGCTGACCAAACTTTGTTTGTTAACCATATTTTTAAAATACATTTATTTGTTATTTTATTTTTGAGCTGTGTGTGGTTTTAGTAAAGCTGGAACACAAATTCATTTCTGTGTAACAATAGAAGAACCCATTTGGTGCTATACTGAACCCTTTTCACAAAGGTTCTATGCAGAACCATATAAAACACCTTCTCCATCAATCTGAACGATGCTTTACACAGTAGAGAACACATTAATCATGCAAATGAATATTTGCGTGCTCATGGTTCATTTTTGAGAGAACCCTTGTAGCACCATCATTTTTAAGAGTGTATGATACGATTTTCACCTTGTTTGCTGCAAGATTGAAAGATTTCTCCATCAGTGTGAAAGGATGACATTGTTTGGACATGAATGGAGTTAGTGAAGTGTGCACATGCAGACAAGTACAGAGTATAAATTCACATCCATACAATCTGATGGCTGCTAGTATGTGAAGATAGCTAGCAAACAAGATACCTGATTTAGCCCATTTAGATGCTTTAGGCTTGCAGAGAACTTGGTATCATTAACTGAAGTTGTCCTAATAGTTCAGTCAGGACCCCTTTAATCAACGAACATATTTTATTTTAATGTGCTGTAAGTCATATTTAGCTGAGTGGCTCTGCTCTGGGACATTCCTGCCCTTCCATGTGCATCCATGGAAAGCCTAAGGCAGGGAGAGCAGCAGGAAGACCCCCCCTCCCCCACCCCAGGGTACAGAACAGAGCAGGCGTCAACAACAACATTACAGTGATCAAGAAAGACACAGCATGAAGGAGGAGTTGGGGTGGAGGGGGTTTGCAGAGGAAGCAAAATAACTAGCTGGTGATGTGAGATTGTGGCCTGAGCTTGACTCTGTGGCCTGCCGGAACTAACACTATGCTCGAATTATCTTTATCTGACGCAGCACTGTGAAGTGTTATAGCAGCCTGGCATAATGTCTTCTTTTGCTCACTATCAGAGAATCTGGTGTGTTTCATACTTTAATGTGATCAAGGACAGGACTGATGTGATGCACCACAAAAATGTGGAAATATCTCTCTTAACAGCTTTGAACATCATGGTACACAGTCCTTATAGGAAAGTCTGTCCACTCGACAGCCTCCAGGTCTTTTATGTTCACTCGAGACAGGGTTTATGATACTAAACGATTTATTATTATTAGGAATAAGGAAAATAAGAATTTTTGTTTTATTTTAAACAATTATTTTAAAATTTTTCCTTGTTGAATATTCTTACTTCATATATTTTGTTGTACTTTTATGTTGTTTTCATTTGTCTCTTTGTTAACCACTTTGAGCTGCATTTGAATGTATGAATGTTTTATTATTATTATTATTATTATTATTATTATTATTATTGTCCTGTGTAGTAGCTGTTTGAATATGCTAGACTCTTCAAGGGCTTTTAGTAAAGGGAATGGTTCTTTTTAGGAACATAAGTTAATATATAAAACCATTTGGATGCTTAAACAGTTCTTTGTGTGGCTGCATGGTGAAATAGTTCTTCAGATTGATAGAGAATGTGTTGTATATGGTTCTATCTAGCACCAAAAAGGGTTCTGATATTGTCAAGTTTCTCAAAAAAGAGAAACCCTTTCTGGTGCCATATAGAAACATTTTCAAAAAGGGTCTAGGTAGAACCGTACACAACACTTTCTCCATCAATCTGAAGAACCATTTCACCATGCAAGGAACCACTTAAGCTTAACATGGTTCTATATCGAACTCATGTTTCTAAATAGAACCATTCCCTTTACTAAAGAACCCTCGAAGAACCATCTTTTTAGAGAATGTAGCTCAATGACGATGTGCTAAGTCTCTCTGTATGTGTTTGTCTCTCTGGTGTTCCAGCTGTGTCAGTGTCAGACGGGTTCAACATCGATGTAACAAACCCAGAGAGGTTCTCGGGGAGTGAAGAGGATTTTTTCGGTTATCGGGTTCTACAGTATCAGTCTGACACAAGCAAACAGTGAGTACACACTCAGACAGGAAATGAACTTTCTTCCTACTGTGATTAATGGTCATTCTTTCGGTGGAGAGTTGGTAGGTTAATTGCTTAATTGGTCAGTTGGTTAGTTTTGTTAATTGTATTTTCTGCTTGGCAGGATCATCGTTAGTGCTCCTTTAAAAGCAAACCGGTCAGGCGCCGTTTATAGCTGCATGCTAAATGCAACAAACTGCAACCTGATATATCAGCAAGGTAAACAAACACATACACTTCTGTTTCCACCTCCATACTACCTGCAGTACTGAGCACTGTAGCTGAACATCAACCACAGTAACCAAAATAAAATAACAACCCCACTTCAGAACAATTCAGTCTAATCAGATTTATTGACCCACAGATGATAACGGCCAGTTCTTCGGGATGTCCATGGCAGTGAGGTCCACCCCTTCAGGCGGGCTGACTGTAAGTGTGGAAATAAAAGTCTAAATTTTATAACTTGAAAAAACACTAAAATTCATACAATTAAGAAAGATCGTATTTTAGCTGTTCAGGTTTTCTTGACTAGTCAAAGTCATCTGGGCATCAATACAACGTTTTCAAGATATTAATAGTGATGTTTCTATATATATATATATATATATTATATATATATATATATATATATATATACTACTAATAAAAAGGCTTGGATTGTTTTGATCTAAAGGCTTATATTTCAGAAAATATTACCATATTTTAAACTGTATGTGAAAATATTACACACAGACAAAATAACTGTAAATGTGTTTATAAATCCATCTGAAAATGTGTGAAAACATCCAGAATCCTGTCTGATCTCTTCACTGTCTGATACCTTTAGAGATGAATTTGTGTTCCAGTATCTTCATTTTAAATCTGATCTAATGATCCTTTAACAGGACAGAAACGAGTGTTGTGGGTATTGATACTCTGTGAAAATGCAGTTATGATCTGATATCTTGTTTATGTGAAATACATTGTGTGTGAGAGTCTGACTGCAGACGGACATGGTTAATGTAAAGTACAGTGCAGATCACAGAAGAACGTTTAGTTACATCTGGAACCTTCATTACACTCAACTGAACACAGATAATAACTAATACTGATAAATGAGTTTTAAAAATGTATTTAAATACATATTTGGCCATTTTCATATGTTGCAAAAATATATTTGATAAACACATTTGGAGTATGTTTTCTTCCTAATTGGGAACCTGACACTGCTGCAAGCTGCACAACAGCATTGCAGTAATGACTGTCACAATGTCACAAACCTAAGATTTCTTCATTTACTGCATCAAGGTTGTGGCTCCTAATTCAACCAGTTTTATTCGTGGTCCTGTGAGTCTTGAGTCTGAGTCAATTTTTTTAAAACAAGTGGTCTTCAGAAGCCAAAGACGTCTCAGTATATGTGTATGGTCTTTATTCCTGTTGGTAAAACAACTTTGATGGCTCCTTGTGAAGCTTAAGAGCTTAAGAGAAGGGCAGGTATATGCAGAGCTGCATCAGGACAAAGGAGGGCTAACTTCTAAAAGAATCTAAAACAGAAGATAGTCTGGATTTGTTCTACACTCTTCCAGTCTCTGTATATAAAACTGTATAGTTTTGATATCTTCACTACTATGCCCAAACGTTTGACTGATAATGTAAGACTGAGCTATAACTGTGACATTGCAAGTCTTAAATGTGTGATGGAGCAATTCTCTCAGCACAAGCCTGACCATCCTGTATTGCTAAACCTGGGCAGAGCCATTTGAGAACACAACACGTCTGATATAGGTTTAGTTTCTGTTACTTATATTAATTGTTGTAACCTGTTTGGACCCTGTGGTTGTGATTTAGAGCTGCAGTCCCAGTCTCGCTCATGACTGTGATGGAAACTCGTACCTGAACGGCATCTGCTACCACTTCAACGGTCAACTGCAGCCCATCGCTAACAACACGGTCGCTTTCCAAGGTACCAGCAGTTCAGCATGGCTTTGCAGATTCAGACCCATTACAATGGCTTTTTCCCGCCTATTCAGTTCAGTGTAACTACAACATATAACTCCATATTTGGCCATCTTAAAATCCAGACTTAAGACACCTTCTTTTTCTTGACACTTCAGCACTTTCTCTCTACACTTCCCTAGAATGATTTGTTTACTTCCTTAGACAGTGTTGCACTTTGTAACTTTTCAACACTTTATTATACTTTCTGAGTTTTTACTCTGTCTTCTTTAAAAAAATCATTGTCTCAGGGTGAATCCAACAAGCTGTACCTTGTTGAGGTATTTATTTATGCTAAGCTTAATCAACTCCCACTGGGGCTAACACTGTTATCCCAAGGACTGATTAATGCCCAGAAGTCTGTAAACTCCAGACTTTCTTCTGAAATGAAGTGTTATTAGTGAGTTTGTGCTGCAGTAACAGCCTCTACTCTTCTGGGAAGGCCTTATAATAGATCAGGGGTCGGCAACATGCGGCTCTGGAGCCACAGGCAGCTCTTTCACTGCCCTGTTGTGGCTCCACAGCAGAATCAGATTAGTAGGTAAAAATAAAATAATCCTCCTTTACAGTAAAATAAAGCTCTGCTGATCGTTCAACACAGTTTAACAATAAATGGTCTTAAACTCTGGAGTTAATGTAGAACTGCTAATTCACCCTTTAACCCTGAAGATCAGTGCAGACTGCTGGTCACCATAGCAACGCAGACAACAGTCTCACCTAGCTAGTAGCTAACGAAACGGCAAAGAGAGAGATTTAAGACAAACATCGATAATTTAGAGACGAATGGACTTATTTGTGTTTATAATCACTCCAGCTGGTTTCCTCATATGTTTAATCTGCAATGAGAAACTAAAACACTAAAAGTCGCAAAGCTAAAGCTGAAGTTTCTTATTCACCAGCTTTTTGAATTTGAAATTTTCCTGTTCCACCTTAAATCGTACAGCAGTTACATCCTGGCGCCTCAGGCACCATTTCAGTCTTGTAAAAAGTCGAAAAATTAGAGTCATTTTACAAGAAACTGTTCTGCTTTTGAAGAAAAGTTTACTACCAGAGATGCAAGAAAAGCAGCTACACCTGAGCTAAAACTTAAAGCAGAGCAAAGTCTGCATTTTCATTTATATTAAATTTTATACATTTATCCTATATTAGCACATCAGCACATACTGAGACATATTTACAGCCAAGATGGTAAAATGTTGACATAAAATGACATAAAAGGTTGTGGCTCCCAAAGTGGTTTGATTTTTGCTGAAAGGACAAAATGGCTTTTCTTAACATTTGGGTCGCGACCCCTGCACTAGATGTTGAACATTGCTGTGAGGATTTGATTGAGCATTGGTCAGGTACTGACGTTGGATGGTGTTGTTTATTAAGTAGCGATGATGTGAAGATGATGAAGGAGACTCCGCTGACACTGTCTTCATTGTATAAGATGTTTATTACAAAGTAAAACAGTATCATATCAAGCACTATAAAGTACCTGAGAGGGGATCCGTACCAATTCTAAAGTGTCCCCCCCAGAACACTATAGCCTACCGCTTATATAGGCTGCTTGTTGTTAAAACAGGAGACAGAACATATGGTTCTTTTTAAAATGATCTCATCTATTTGGAACTAAGAGAAGAAGGGAGAAAGTTAGAGACCTACTCCCTGTGGGCCTTTGGACCAGGTGGCTCCCTTAACTTAAACATTCCAAACCCCTGCAAAAACAGACCTGCAAAACAGATACTTGGAACTTGTTGAGTGTTGCTAAGTGTTGTTGCCTTCTTTTATAAAGTCACACATACATATTTGCGGTGGTAACAAAATAACAGGTCCTCCTACACATGCTTCCTACAGCATGAACTTAGCAATGCAACAACTTTCTGGAGTGTGAGAGCGAAAAAAACCTGTCAGGCAGCTATCATTCCTGAAATGTCCATCACACAATCTAGACAGGAAAATTTTCTCACGATCCCTCTGCCTTAGGTGACCACATAGAATACTCCGGACTACTTTAAATAGAGGAATTTTGACAAGTTGTATATGGATATGACTTAAGCAAATACATATGAAAACCTCAGAAAATAAAATCAAAACAATGTCCACATTCAGGCTGGTCGACCCATCAGACCTTCCAATGGACCTTTCCCTGCCTAACACCCCTATCCCTAAGCACCCGAAGAAAAAAAAAAAAAAAAAAAACATCTGAGGTCCCAATGTACTTTACCCCCTAACAGAAACCATCAGTCTTCAATCAATTAAAACAAAGAAAGTTGGATCTTAAGGAAGTGTTATACATTTAAGTACTACTCATGCAATAAACAACTCAAACACTCAATCCAACTAGTATGTCTTACTAGGATTATCACTTCCTTATAAATGTCCTCTATAGGCATAAGACATAAAAATGTATCACACTGCAGCTCCTCAGCAGCGTCAACTCTCAGTGTAGTGTCGATGATGTGTTGACTCTGGGCATTGTATCACAGTGTCCTTAAGATCCAACCACCCTTACAGTGGTCTTCCCCAACATCGTTCTTGAAGGACAGAAAAGAAAACCACCAACCAGTATCTTTTGCAAAAACAACAGATGCAAACTGAAACATCACATATGGGTTAACACCTTATAAGTAAATGTGAAATTCACAGTATCATACTTTCAGATTACTCCAAGTTATAAATCACCTTTTTCATTTCCCCCTGCAATCATCACACTCTATAGTAGGAGGCCACTAAATACCCAAATAGTAACAGAAATAAATGTCAAGACTATAATAGGAGTAGATATTCAAAATGGATATTTCTCCATCAGCTCGCCTTCTATCACCACTTCCTCATCATCGTCTGTCAATATAGACACTATGTAGTAATGGCATCTGAACTTGATCTCCAGGCATCACAACTCCAACCCATCTCAATATCATAGCCTTCGCAAAGGTCAACAACAACGTACAGAAACAGAACATCACACTCAATGATATAAGAACTTCTCCCAACGGTCCTAATCTCTCCTGTAACCAAGCATTCGCAGACCATCCAGCTCCTTCCGATGGGCCAAACGCATCCCTTACATGCTTCAATGCATCTATGACACTAGTCATACCGTCAGAACTATCAGGAATCAAAGTATAACAGGCATCACCAGTTAAGCTCAGAGCCACACATAGGCCACCCTTGTTTGGCCAAAAGATAATCAAGAGCCATGTCATGTTTCAGCATCGTCAGTCTGTGACTCTTTTGAGTATTTGACAAGTATTCAAAACCTCTTATAGTCTCATTTGCAAAATCCTGTAGGGTGTAGGTAATATTATCAATGTGATCTGTCAAAAATGTCACACCATACCATGGAAATAATCCTATACCCCACTTCTCTCCTAGACTTATCCTCCAATGATAGGACACCAGATTATGAAATTGTGCTAGTTCCCTTTCTTACTTTCAGAAATAGCATCAGATTGAATCTCATCAGAAACTTTTCCCTTCTGGACAGTAAAAACCTCATATGGAAGCTTCAACGTTGCCATGTAACAGCATCCTATCCACCCATACGGTAGAAATAAATATGTCTTATCACCACAAACCCCACAGATTTCACTTTCAACGGATCAGGGATGGCTGTTATCATTTTTTCATACCGATTGTTATGCATCCCTATGGCTCAGAGGTTTCCCTGGACTCCATCTCCCAGAATCCTCTGGGGGATCACATGACTCCTGACCCTCCACCATGCTCCTATCACAGGTCTCTCTCTCCTGAGTACTGATCTGTTACACCTGTGACCTCTTATCAGCTTCAGTAAAAAGCCTGGGCTTTTAGAACAGTTCAGTGCGAGGTATTGCTTCTTTCTAGAGCCACTGAGTGTTTATTTCCTGTGTTGTGCTTTCCAGTTTTGACTATTCATCTGTATTTTGACTCACCTGTTTTTGCCTGACCCCTTTTGGATTGTGTTGGCCTGTTGTTATGTTTGTGATTCTTTACTTGCTGCCCTTTCTGGATTTGACCTGTACCTGTTTCCTGACAACGATTTTGATTGATGATTCAAACAGTAAAGCTTTTTTGGTCTCTCTATCTGCGAGCGTCTGAGTGGTTCACCACACATGGACAATTCCATTTTCTAACCGATCTTACAGAATGAGTTAACTGCTGGAACCATAAGTTCCTACCTGCCCATGAGTCTGCGATTTGTAACACCTAGGAATCAAATCCACATGCCTTCCACTTAGTTTCTGTCTTCTGTAATACACAATAATGGTCAGTCATGTCTTCTGGTGTCCAGTCAAAGTCAAAAAACCCGTCTTCCACATCTAAAATAGTCCTCTGAGCTGTCACAGATAAATCTGCATCATGCTCTTCCACCATCTGTTCTCTAGGTTCAAAAATCTCCTTACTACTATTCACACTCTAGCTCTATCTTTAACATAGGTTTCTGGGTTATATTTACTCCTTCTTTTAAGTTCAAAAATGTCATATCACGTGTCTGTGTTACATTTACAAATTTCCTATCTCTGTAGTAGCCTCCATCCCCTTCAGAGTCATAGCTAAAGTAATAGTCTGTCATTTTCCCTATGTATTTTCCTTTGATTTTACAAAGTACTGCAGGACCAGAAAATCTGGAATAATCACCTGTGTGTAATTTTTCTGCAGAGTGCACAAAAGGTGTAGTGAACTTGGTCTTCCTGTTCGACGGCTCTTCCAGCATGAAAACCAGTGACTTTAACAAGAATAAAGAGTTCATCTGGAATATTATAAATCAACTTAAGGACTCAACCATTCAGGTAAACACAGTGTGAAGTATCATTTTCAATTTTTGCTTGATTATCACCGTGACTTCTTTTCATCAGTAACCTGCTGGTAGAAATGTTGACATACGCTTCCATACTAAAAAACAAATAATCAAAAAGTCATTTAGTGCACTCAGTGAGGTTAATACACTCAGTGAAGTCAATACACTCAGTGAAGTTAATACACTCAGTGAGGTTAATACACTCAGTGAGGTTAATACACTCAGTGAAGTTAATACACTCAGTGAGGTTAATACACTCAGTGAGGTTAATACACTCAGTGAAGTTAATACACTCAGTGAGGTTAATACACTCAGTGAGGTTAATACACTCAGTGAAGTTAATACACTCAGTGCAGTAATTGTGGTCAATGCAGTCAATGCATTTAATGTCTTTTTCTGTCTGTGTTTAGTTTGCTGCTGTCCAGTTTTCTGGAGTTCCCCGGATCGTTTTTCACTTTAATGATTACAAGAATGGCACAGCTAAGAAAAAGCTTGATGAAGAGGAGCATATGAAGGATCTCACAAACACCCACCAGGCTATTGACTATGTACTGTGAGTAATCTGTGAGTTTCCGCTAAAGGAGAGAAAGTAGGCTGAGATCAATCTTCTGTTTCGTTAATTCAGGTTTCAGATCTTAAGTGGCGTGTCAGTGTGAACATAGTCCTACTGAACTCAGTCCCCAGTGATGTCACAGCCATCCGTGTCCTGGGCAGTTGAGCGGCTCTAGTTCTGCGATATTCTTGCATGCACAGAATGTTTAAGATCTGCCCACAGATTGTAAATGATGTTCAGGTCAGGGGGCTGTAAGGGCCATTCCAAAAACTTTGGCTTGTGTTTCTTGAAGTAGATGATTGAAAGTGGATTTTGAAGTATGTTTTGGATCATTTTCCAAAGTCAGCCACTTTTCAGCTCCAGTTTCTTGACTGACTGTATAACATTTACTTCCACAATTTGCTGGTATTTAGCAAATTCTTCCATCTACCTGTGCAGTGTTTCCTGAGCCACTAGTTGTCTCACAACCCCAAAGTATACCACATCCACTCATGCTATACAGTGAACATGGTGTTCCTTTCATCCTTTTATCTCTAAATATTACTGTGGGGACTGCTGCCAAATGTTTTTATTTTTACTTCATCAGTCCAAAATGCCTCTTGCTGATGTTTTGCACACTTCACACATTGACTTCCTTGATAAGGTTGCAGATAAAATTTCCTTCCGATGACTCAAAACTGTTTCAGCTAAACCTTTCTGCAGGTCCTTTGCTGTCATACGGTGATGTGTCGCTTTGCCTTTCTGGCCAGCATTTAAGTAGTTCTATTTGAGAGTTTAAGATCTTTCCTTGACTCCCATTAACTACCATTTCTGAATGACATTTCCAGCAGTGGAAATTGTGAGCTGAACACTCTTTGATGTGATTTTACAACCTTCTACTGCTTTGCAGGCATCAGTTAGCTTCATTTTCAGATTCCCAACCAGCTGCTTAGAAGAGCTCATGGCTGTTGAATGTTAGCAGATGGTTTAAAGAGTCAGAGAGTGAATGATGCTCTGGAATTCTCATCAGCTGACAATTCCTAATGACCTGTCAAACTAGTCCTAACAAGTAAATGAGTTAATTAGGTTTAATTACAACCGCACATCACAATTACTGTTTTATTTAGTTCTATTTTTGTCAATCAAATATAAAGTAACTGTGTATTAACTTTTGTGTGAACATTATGAATTTTAATAGTTTGCTGCAGACGCTGTGTTTATGTAATGCGACAAAATGACGCAGACGCTCGCAGGTAAAAAGTGAATAAGAGTCTTTACTAGTTCAAACAGAATCCACAATCATAGTCAGGTCACAGGCTATGGTCAAATCCATAAGGGGCAAAATACACGAAAAACACAAACATAACCAGGCAAACAGTTCAAAAAGGTTCAAGCAAAAGGCAGGTCAACAAACACAGCAGAGCAGGTCAGAATAGGAATAAAAAGTCAGAAATAATGCTCAGTGGAAAGAAGCAATACTTTACAATGAAACTATCTACAAGCGCAGGCTTTAAACTAACCGAATCAGAGAAGAACAGGTGATACAGATCAATACACTGGGGAACTGGAGTGCTGGCTGGAGCCCTAGAGTGAGGCTGGAGTCATGTGATCTCCCAGGGGATTCTGGAAGATTGAGCCCAAAGAGTACAGAGCCAAAGAGCGTCATGACCTTTTTTTAACTTCAGAAATCAACAAAATATGTAATTTGGTCAGAGGGGGCTGTAACTGTTACTGTTAAATGAATATATTTTTTTATACCAGTCAGAATTAGGGTGGAGTTTTCTGTCATACCTGAAAAGAGCCATGCTATGAACAAGATGATGGCTGAATGTAACAGTAAGAGCACAAATGAAAATCCCTCCAGTTTGATTTAGAAAGATCAGTGTTTAACAACTCACACCTGTGTTTCATTTAGACTAATGTGTCACAATAACTGGATCCTGAAGTGAGAATGTAACTGTATTTTTATGTAAATTGATTTTTATTAAAACAGCACTGTTTGTTTTCCAGAGTAAACCTCTTTAATAATGTGTTCTCTGGTGCGGATCCTGATGCTACAAAAGCTCTGGTCATCATTACAGATGGAACTCCTACTGATTTTAACACTAAAGATGTTATAAAGAGGTGTGAAGACCAACATATCACTCGCTTTGTTATTGGGGTGAGTTCATTAAAGCAACACATTAAACAATCACACAATGCCTACTATGCATATAGTTGGATTATTGCAAAACCAGATGCAATTGAATAGAAAAATAATAAACAGACAAAGAGTATGTAACGCTGGGTTGATGAACCTGACACCCGCGGACATAAAACAAAGCATAAGGTTTATTAAAAGGAGAATGAAATGAAACAGTGGGGTTAACACCAGACCAGGTCAAAAACAGGAAGAGCCAAATATGGTACATAGGAACAGACAGAAAGAGTAACAAGTAAACAGGCAAGGGTCTAAACCAAAAAGCAAAGCAACTGGTAACCTTGGCTAAAGGGAGGCAGGTGAACCTGCAGCTTGTGGGTCCAGTGCAGGCAGGCCTGAAGAACGTCTATGGAGACAGGCAGACCTGCAGCGACATCCATAGAGACAGGCAGACCTGCAGCGATGTCCATAGAGACAGGCAGACCTGCAGCGATGTCCATGGAGGCAGGCAGACCTGCAGCGATGTCCATGGAGGCAGGCAGACCTGCAGCGACGTCCATGGAGGCAGGTGAACCTGCAGCTTGTAGGTCAAGTGTAGGCATGCCTGAAGAATGTCTATGGAGACATGCAGACCTGCAGCAGCATCCAGGCAAGGTTGCTGGCCACCTGCAGCATGCAGGGCAGTTGGTAGACCAGTGTACAGGATCACAGGAGAAGGCAAGGCTGGTGCTGGACCAGGATGAAGATTTGGGTCAAAGTCTGGGTCTGCTGCTGGATCCTGCTTGAGGACCTGGACAGTGGAGGGGATCAACCACTCAGGAACAGGAGCTGAAACTGCTAAAAGGTTCACTGATTCTTCTGTAAGTAGGCAAAGGAACTCAAATGATGATTCTGGCTTTTGTTGTCTTCCTTACACCACGCAGCAGTGAAGAAAAATGTTCTTTGAGCAATTAGCTTTTAAGGTTAGATATATCATGATGTACAACAATCGTCCTTGTTTTTTATTAAAAGCAGCAGGAAATCTTCTGACGTTATCTAAAACTTGAAGACCTGGAAAGCAAGAGATTAGCTATGGCCGCTAATGCAGGGGAGGAAAGGGACTTGAGGGCTTCAAACTGATTCCTGGTAGTGAGCTCTGGTTGCGGTGGTAGAGACTTCTGCTTTCCTTTTTGGCACTGGCGTTCCCAAACTCCAGTAGCCGCAGGGATGAACAAGATGATTCCTAACCTAAACCATAGGTTAAGGGGTTCCTTAGCAGATGTTGAAGTCACCATAGCACCACTGTTCATGCTGCCTGTCATCCCACCCTACATGTGACCACCTCCAGGTAGACTAGCTGCACTACCAGAACAGGAGACGTAACGGGCCGGTGGTAGGGCGTGTTTTCTTTTTGGTTCTGCCGTTTTGGCAGCATCTTCATTTACTGTTCCGGAAAGTTCTCTACTTAACAACCAGAGCTTCCAGTCTTCCACAGTCACAGCATTATATCCATGTTTGTGACTCGTTGTCTTATAACTGGCGCACCTGATTAAAGATCTAAGGTGAAGAATAGACATACAACACTCATCCATCTACCCATCAATTGTACTCACCATCACAGTGCAGTAAATGGTTTTGTCTTTGACAGGTGGGGAATATAGACGTACAAAAGCTCAGAAGATTTTCTTCAGAGCCCAAAGAAAATAACACATTCCAGATTGAAGACTACAGTGGACTGGGAGGACTTCTGGATAAGCTGCAAAATAAGATCTACAACATTGAAGGTATCAGGAAAAGCATAAGTACAGAGTTTTATAGCTCACATGAGTTCACACTGCAGTGTGGATATGAGTCAGAATTGTTTTGCTTGTCTGACATTGACTGTTCACACGAGATTGACTTTTGGTATGACTGTGTCTAAGATACCCAGAAGGCCCTTTTTGTGTTTTTTGCTTTTCTGCTTTTAATGTGCTTCAAAACATTTTGTGAAAACAGCTGAAGTGTCCTAATAAATCCTGTATTTTCCTTGTTCAGGAGATCAGAGCGGTGGACACAGGGAACGGACAAAGGAGTTGTCTCAAAGTGGATTCAGTGCTGTCTATGATAAAGTACAACTAAACATATTCCAACCTCAGAGCCTCAAAATAACTATCACTAAATCTACTGATCTATTATAGTAGAATCTGTTTCTGATAGCATAATACTAAACATACCTTCTGTCATTTAGGAATTTCAGGTAATATTCAGAAAGGATTCGTTTAATGTAATGAAATTAATCCCATAATATATTATTTTAGTTCCCTAATCATGTCACACTTCATAAATTGTGTGCTCTCAGGTCTTCAGAGTATTGGCATCTTCTGCCTACCATGTGGAAATGACCTGGGTTATATCAGTATTGTACATACTGCCATATTAGTAAATATTCTGCAATATCCTGACAGAAGGGAGTTTTATTAAGCATGGATGCACACAATGAAGCATTTACTTATATTCTTGGTAGCCTAATTCAAACCGGTCAGTACTACCATAAGTGCACAATAATAAATCTTAAAATCTGTAAAATGACAAAAAAATAAAATTCTAGCATTTTTCCCCTCAGTAACTCCAACCTGTCACGGATGCCCTTATCACCAGAGCATCAGAAATCTCACCACTAATGCACCAATAATCCCTTGAAGAAAGTATCACATAACTTGGCAAAACATTTTAATTGTTCTGAAAAAAGCTCTTAAATAAACTCCAAGGTTTATTGTAATTACAAAATGTTTTAAGTGGAAATAAGGGTTCAAATACCTGCTCAGAGAGTAAATTTTAGTACATTTTTGCTTTTTTTCTGATTGCACCATCCCCCAAAATGTCTGTGCATGGGCCTGTACTTCATCCCTGGATAGCAAAAATATTTTTTAGATTTGATTTACTCAACAAATGACTTTAACATGACTTTTTTTCTGTAGAACATGTAATCAGTGAATGAATCATACACTCCAATAGCAATGTTTATGACTCTTTATGTAAAATATTAGTAGCAGGACTGGGTGACAACAAAATTGTTTAAATGAGATGTCGTAGTGTATTTTTTTCATTGCTGAATAGAGTCCTGAACTCTACTGAGCCTCTTTATTACTACAAATATAACTAATTCTAGGCAACTATTGCTAATAATGTATACTACAGACAGTGGGTTGGGATGCTGTGCAAAATGTACATACAAACAAAATGTAATGACATGCAAATCATTTAATTTCATTTCATTGAAAATAGTACAAAAACAGCAAATCAAATGTTGAAACTGAGAAATTTTATTGTTTTTTGAAAAATATTTGCTCATTTTGAATTTGATGCCAACAACATGTTCCAGAAAGTAGGGACAAGGGCAACAAAAGGCTCATAAAGTTGGACCCCGGTGGTTGATTGCCAACAGGTCAGTTACATGATTGGGTATAAAAGAGCATCTCAGAGAGTCTTTCAGAAGTAAAGATGAGGAGGGGTGAAAAACTGCACCATCAAATAGTGCAACAGTTCAAGAATAACATTTTTCAATGTAAAATAGCAAAGAACTTTTGCTTTTCATCATCTACGGTACATAATATCATTAAAAGATTCAGAGAATCTGGAGAAATTCTCTGTATGTAAGGGACAAGGCCAAAAATCAGTATTAGCTGGCCGTGATCTTTGGGCCCTCAAATGGGCCCTGAAGACCACTCAGCTTGTTATCAGTGCACAGTTCTAAAGCCAGTATTCATGATGGTGTAGGGGGGCATTAGTGCACAGGGCATGGGTGACTGGCACATCTGTGAAGGCACCATTAATGCTGAATGATATATACATGTTTGACAAAATATGCTGCCATCCAGACGACGTCTTTTTCAGGGAAGGCCTTGATTATTTCAACAAGACAATGCCAAACCACATTCTGCATGTATTACAGCAGCATTGCTCTGTACTAAAAGAGTCCGGGTGCTAAACTGACCTGCCTGCAGTCCAGACCTGTCACCACTGAAAACATTTGGCACATTATGAAATGAAAAATATGACAAATGAGCCCCTGAACTGATGAAATCCTGTATCAAACAAGAAAGGAAAACAATTCACTTTCAAAACTACAGCAGTGTCTCCTCAGTTCCCAAACGCTTACAGAGAAGAGGTGATGAAACACCGGCCCCCGTCCCAACTTTTTTGGAATGTATTGTTGGCATTAAATTCAAAATGGGAAATATTTTGAAATATTTTTCAAAAAACAATACAATTTCTCAGTTTCAACTTCTGATATGTTGTCTTTGTACTATTTTCCTTTAAAAATATGCTTTACATGATTTGCATATCATCGTGTCCTATTTTTATTTACATTCTGCACAGCGTCCCAACTTTTTGGGAAATGGGGTTGTAAAATGCAGTGATATTATGCAACATGTTTTTAAATTTGTTGCTACTATTTTTCATACTGGACATATGTCTGTTTTACTCTGGACGGCAGGATGTTCTGGTGTTGGGAGCTGTTGGATCGAATGAATGGCGTGGAATGCTTTATGAAGTTGGATCCACAGAGATAGAAATCAAAGACCCAAAGCTGAACAACGACTCCTACATGGGTACATTATACATTTACATTATGCATTTGCCTTTGATTAGCTGTGTAGTGTATGTATGTTTTATTTGAGTGGTAGAACAGTGGTTCTGAACCCAATCCTCAGGCCCCCAAGACAGTCCACATTTTCCCTTCATCCCTATGTATTGCAGGTTGGGTTGGAGCAAAAATGTGAGCAAAAAGTTGGATGGGGGGCTTAGGACCAGTTTGGTTTGTTTTTGGTTACATTATAATGTTAAGTAATTTGTAATTGTTGTAGTAAGGTGGTGTGGTTATGTAGAGATGTGTGGTTAAATGGACAGAATCCAAAGTTGTATTACACTCTTCTCCATCTAAGAACAGCTTAGCCAGTTTGCACTGAAGTCCTTGTAGTTACTGAAAAATAAGCCAGCTGGGATTTTAAGGTATTAAAAGTGTACATAATATTACTGTTAATACATGTGAAACGTTGCTGGTCTGTTTAGGTTACTCCACAGCAGTTGGACAGAAAGGTGGAGTCTCTCTTTTGTTTTCTGGAGCTCCAAGGTCCAATTACAATGGTCAGGTCACTCTCTTCAGTAAGCAGAACACATGGGAAGTCACCACCAGTGTCAGTGGAGAACAGGCCAGTAACTCAAAAGAACTCAACCTTCACATATCCTTCTATTGTTTTTATATCCAATAGCTTCTCATGGTTACTCAGCTGATTCCAGATCATAAACAATTCCTCTGCAGGTCGGCTCGTACTTTGGTTCATCTCTCTGTTTGTTGGATGTGGACTCGGATGGTGACACTGACTTTCTTGTGGTTGGAGCTCCTCTGTACTACCAGGCTCAGCCGCGGAGAGAAGGCAGGATGTATGTCTACAGGGTCACAAATAAGGTACAGCACAGTCTTCATCTACAGCTACACTGCAGTCAGCGAAAAGCAGTCAAAGATAGTCCAATAAGAGTGTGATATCAATGTCATTTGGGTTTTTCAGTCACACCTCAAAATATTTTTGGTAAAAAATATGAACATATGTTTAATGTTGAATTTCCTATGATCAGTAGATTTACATCACATATCTGCTGAAAATTTGTGGACAAATACCTTTAATTGTTTACAGTTTATCATGGTTCCTTTGTCCAGTACAACTCTCCTCTCTTGCGATGGAGAGCGGGCAGCCTAGAGAAATGGTCAGCGGTAATACTCTTCTTGCTTGTTTGATGACTTAAGAACTAGAATGGTTGGATCTTGAGGTACCACTGGGTCATCCTGGTCATTTATAGTCTTGATCCAGGACACTCTCCCTTAAATATCTGAAGAACTTCGTCCTTGAATCCTTGGAATATTTGGTCTTTTAGATGCTGGAACGACACTGGGGCCTCATGGAGGCCAAAGAGCATGAACTGGAACTAACCACTGCTGTGTCCTAGGCCACTCCTTCATAGGGACATACCAGTAACCTTTAAAGAGGTTTACTGTGAACTTGTCTTTTACATTCCTTTCCAGAAGATTGAGGATTGTGGCCATTGATCCAGGAAAACTGTGGATCCTGGCCCATGATCGTTGAGGAGCAATTCCATTAAATTCTCTGTGCAATTGCTCGTTGATTCCTAATTGTAGCACAGCTTGAATCTCCTCCTATAAAACAGCCACCATTTTCTTTAGCACTTGGATAGCAAGGCCAAAACACTAGCCAATTATCAAGTGTAATCATGATGGTGATTTTCAGTCCACCCTCATCTTTGTTGAAACAGATACAGTTGATGCTTGTAGCACAACCTCTTCAGCTTTGTTTCCCAGAGTGCTTGAAGCAAAAGCAAGGATGTTGCTGGAGTGCAGTCCCTTACCTTTCTAGGCCTTGAAGAGGTTTATGAGGTATACCTGTTTCTCCTTGTCTTTGGTTCACTTAGTATGTCTCAAGGCCCACCTTCTTGGTGATGTGTAGGGGGCCTTCCACTTTTGCTTGCTGGCAGTGGAGTGTAGATGGAGTGTAGAGAGTAAGACTCTATGTTCTGGAGAAAATGTTTACTGGCAGAAATGCTTGTGATACCAGATCTTTCTGCACCTTGAAGGCTCTCTGGAGTACACAGTCAACTGCACCTTTCTCTGTTACATGATCCTTTTATTTGCTCCCAGCCCAGAGGTCCTGATTAACCATACCACAGCTCAGATGGTAAGAATTCTGTGAACACTTAAGGGGACTTTTTGTAGGTGAACAAAAGAACCGAACAAACAAAGACCATAGAATTGTTCCTCACTCAGTCCTCCTGGCTTTTGTCAGCTAGACCTGCTGGCCGTCCTATTCTTTGAACATCAGAACTGAGTGTCATCATCATAAATGTCCATTATATTCATAGTCCAGAGTCACTTTTGGTCTTCTCTAGTGGTCCAACAGTGTCTAAGAAATTCCTTTCAAAGGGAGCAATATTTATTTGGAATAGACTAATGTGAGACGGCATCATTGCACTGATCTCTGGCAGTGTATTTGGGCATCTGTATACATTAAAGGTTAGTGAAAACAAGAACATTGTCCTGAGTGTCTTGCACATGGGATGAGATGAGCAAAATGAAGTACTAGAAAATGGTACCTCAACCTTTGGCTGTTCTTCTTAGACACGGGTGACATTGTGGATGGCATCATTTGAATGTTGTACCTGTGTTCTGGTACTACCTATTCCACACCTTCTAAAGTGACTTCATCATAGTTTTAGACTGTTGAAGGACAGTGATATCTCTTGGTAGCTCCCACATCAGCTCTACCCCCACAGCCTTAGGTACCTCCAACAGTTTCCTTTACAAGATGTCACTGATGTCATATCTTCACGAGACTTTTGACACTGGCTTCAAGCAGGTTGTTATGCATGTGTGCAATCCTATGTGATACTCCTGCAAGCTTCTTGCACACCTTGCATTACTGTATAGATGGTCTAGCAGTTTATCTTCCATCTTCTGGCTCCTAATCTCATTCCTGTTTTTCTGGCTGCATCCATTTGCTGGAAAGACCTTAAATAATATGTCTCTGTGTGTAACTCTTCAGACCTCATAGCCTGGAACCACTCATGGTAGATCTAGCTTGACATCAAACTTCTTCTCTCAGGCAATGACTCATTCATACATTCCTATTTAATTCAGTAACTCTTTACTGTTGGCCAGTGTTCGTAAGACTGTGTGACACCTACATAAGCACTTCATGACACATTAACAAAAATAAGCATGTATAAACATATATAAACATGCATCCCAACTTGTCTGAAAAGTTGCATTCATCAGCTTTATTGTCAAGTTGACAGACAGGTGACTGGTTTATTTCTGACATTAGGTTGTGTCATGACACATATGGGGTGAATGACAGACTTTATAGCTCAGTGACAACTTAGACTGGTTGAACAAATGAGCATTTTCTGTGGCCCTTTGGTAAATCGAGTCTACCCCATTTACTTAAATCACATCAGCAGCATTATGTCCCTATAATACACACTTACAAAGTCAGTTTACATGTAATTTCACAGAAAATAACAATAATAATTAAGTAATAATAAGTAATAACAACTTAATTTGAGAAAAATCTTTGCCAGTTAACAAGGCTGCTATGTCAATTTGACATCAAAGCTTTCAAAAGCAGCCTTTATGCTAGACAATATGACAAACGAGGAGTAAACTTAAAAGTGTTTATGCAGGTTTATGCCAGTTGTTTTGATGAGCTCATGTAAGAATCATGTCTTATGCCCCATGAACACTTACAGTGTTACCAATAATCTAAGACAATGGTAGTTGGTAACAGTTCCAATTATGTGTGGTCCCTTTTCTCTTTCCATAGCTGGAAGTGGAGAAGGAACTGGAGGTGGCTGACTGTGTTCAGGGCCAGTTTGCAGCAACTGTAACATCTGTAGCAGATCTGAATGGAGATGACCTGCAGGATGTAGCTGTTGGAGCTCCACTGGAGGACGGTGGCAGAGGAGCTGTTTACATCTACCTTGGGAACCGCACACAGGGTATACGTCCACAGTACAGCCAGGTACTTCCCAAAACCGCAATACAAGGCATAAACCCTTCCCCCAGTACATTCAGGTACACCCCAGGTGCAAAGCACAGTATGTGTCCAACATCACAAGAAGTGTTAGCTTAGTTGCATCAAATGTAGGCTACACAAAAGGGAACTTATGTCTTTAAGTCTACACCTCTAGTTTTACCATCTAATAGGATTAAAGTCTGTCATGTTTTGTGCATAGATATAGAATCTTTCAAGAAAAATCACGATGTATGAAAAAATCAATAATATTTTTCCACACTAACTATATAATATGACTATAGAGGCAAAAAGAAGCCAATAATTCTAAGCTGGTGAGGATAAATTGAAGGATATAATGGTTATATATATGATGGAGGTCAAGAAGAGTGTAGTAGTTGGTTGGTATGATGTAGTGGGTAAGACCTCTGCCCTCCACGGTGCAGACTGTGGTTCGATCCTCCACCTGGGCAAGGACTATCCCAAAAAGAGTCCTTGGGCAAGACTTCTAACACTGCAGTGCTGTGAAAAAGTATTTGCTCCTTCCATGTTTCTGCATATTTGTCACACTTTAATGTTTCAGATCATTTAACCTTTTTTTTTTCAGCAGTATCACTTTTTTGGCAATGGTAAGTGATATGAATATAAAGGATTTGAGGTTACTGGGTGCTGAAAGTGAGGACAGGTCATTAAATAGCACTACAATGGGACATAAAGGGATGACAAGGCCCAAAATCTCTGACCTCTGACCAAAACTGCTGGGTCGGGGGACAATTCCAGAAAGCATGATAGTATTGCTCTGTTAAAGCTGGGCAATGTTGGCGTGTATCACTGTAACTGAATCCCATACGGTGTAGTTTAGAGGCTGTAGGCTGTAATATATTTTCTGTGAAGGGTTTTATATTGAATTAGATGGAGTTTTGAATTGCTGGACATAGAGAAGATGCCACTGCATATATTTTGTCATTTAACTACTTTTGATAAGTAAACACAAAATGCTGTTAAATTCATTTATTGAAGGAAAAATGCTGTTTAGCCTACCTGGTCCTATGTGAAAAATTAACTGCCCCCCCTTAGCTACTAATTCAACTAGTAAAAAAAAAAAAATTGACTTTTGTATTCAGTTTCACTGTCCACACCCAGACATGATTACTGTCAGACCTGCTGGATCTAAACATCACTTAAATAGCACCTATGTGGCAGTGTGAAGCAGCTAAATCATCTCAAAAAGCAGCACATGATGCCACATTCTAAAACAAAGTCATTGAAATCCTTCAGTCTGGGAAGAGTTACAAAGACATTGCTGAGGCTCTGGGACTCTAGAGAACCACAGTGAGAGCCATTATCCACAAATGGAGAAAACTTGTAACGGTGGTCAACCTGCCCAAGAGTGGCCAACCTTCCAAAATTTCACTAACAGCGCATCAACGAGGTCACAAAAGAATCCTGATGAACATCTAAAGAACTGCAGGCTTCACCTGCCTCAGTTAAAGTCAATGTATTTGATTCCACAATGACAACGACACAGGGCAAAAATGATATCCATAGGAGTGTTGCAAGGCACAAACCACTGTTGACCAAAAAGAAGCTCATCTGACATTCGCCAAAATGATGACCCCCAAGACCTGTAGGATAATATTCTGTGGTCTGATGAGTCAAAAGTAGAACCATTGAAAGACATGGGTCCTGTTACATTTGGCATAAAGCTAACATTGCATTCCACCATAAGAGCATCAAACCAACAGCAAAACATGGTGGTGTTAGTGTGATGATCTGGGGCTGCTTTGCTTCTCCAGCACTTGGACAACTTCTTGATGGAACCATGAATTCTGCTCTCTGTCAGAAAATCCTGAAGGAGAATGTCTGCCCGTCGGTCCCTTCCTAAACAACACAGTTGAGTTATGCAGCAGGACAATGACCCAAAGCACACTAGCAAATGCCCCTCTGAATATCTCAAAAGAAACAAAATTAAGGTTTTGGACTTGAATCCCTTTGAGATGCTGTGGCAAGACCTTAATCGGGCAGTTCATGCTCAACAGTGATGTGAAAGACTCATCACAAGTTATCGCAAATGTTTGATTGCAGTTGTTGCTGCTGAGGGCATGATGGTATGAGATACCTAGCAATTTCGCCTAAAAGTGGAGAGGGGTTCAGTATCATATAACATCTTCAGTGTTGATGTGTGCCAAAGAAAATTTGTTGAGGGTCTGAAAGATGAGTGGAATGAGGTGGGAGAATTGTGAAGCACTTTTTCTTGGCAAGAAGGAAGCAAACAGATGCTACCACTCCTGCTGATTCATTAAGGAGAATGAGAGAAAGCAAAAGAAACTGGTGTTGCTTAATTCTTTGGAGTGATCATCTCTATCATAGGCAGAAAGTGGTGGAATGTGTGGCAGGAAGCCAAAGCTGATGTAAACTACCAGACTACCACAGGCTACGCTACCATAGTCTAAGAGTGTATTGATCTTGAGGGCAAGTTGTGATAACTGGTGTTGTAGTTTCTGTGATATGGAATGATGTCTATCAAAAGTATTTTCAAAGACTGGAAACTAAAATGAATTTGAAGAGCACTTTGTACAGAATGAAGAGTCCAGTTTCATTTGTATGTTCATATGTTGATAGTAAAGGAAAAATGAGAGGGATGGAGGTAAAAGATCAGTTAAGAAGATAGATTAGCTGGTGCCGCTCTCATCATCACCGATGCATTTGCCAGTAAAACTGTTTGCACTTGTAGCGAATCCTGGCTTGGACAATTTCAGAGAGTCTGCAGCAGTTTGGTGTGGCGATTGATGGAGTCATGGACATGGAAGGAGATGGACTTACAGACATTGCTGTGGGAGCACGAGGGACGGTGATGCTGCTAAAGTAAGAACATGAAGTGAACACCAACTAATCCAACCACATAACCTTAACACAGTTAAATAAACAACTAAGTTAGGCAGCTTATCTGAGCCAGCAGATGGTCGTGTATCTTTGAACCAAATATTTTGTGGAAAATCAATGTAGAATTAAGTACATTTGCTGAAGTTCTACACATAAATAAATGTTTTTTATTTCATGGTGCCTCACAGTGAGGAGAAAAACACATGACAAATGACAAGCCAATTGTTTTTATTCTAACTGTATCTCTGATGTGTTCCTGTTAAGTGTTTCTGTAGCTCAGTTAGTTATACCTGTGATGCATGTGGTTCTTTCAGGGCTCGACCAGTTCTGTCTGTTTCTGCACAACTCAGTTTCTCCCCCTCTGAAATCAGCCTCGACAACTTTGACTGCTTGGCCCAAACCGATAACACAATAGAGGCTGTTACCCTCAGCACCTGCTTCAGAGTGGAAGAGAAAACCAACAGCACAGGTATGCTAACCTGGAGCGCAGCTAAACCGTGCCAAAAGCACAAGTATGATCACTTGGAACAAAGAACAATAGAGTGGAAAGACAAATAATGCTCACCAGGGGCCGTCTGCACCAACAGGTCTTAACTAAGATGGTCTTAACTGCTAAGTCAGTCATAGCTAAGATGTAAGCGAGGACTTACCTGTCACAAACAAAGTTACACCAATCTGCAACTAAGGCTGATCTTCACGGTGAATGTTCATGTAAAAATCTATAGAACAATGGTGGTGACTAAGCAAGACTACCATATCACCCAAGATGGCCACAAAACGCACTGAGGAAAATGAGGAAAAAGTATTTGCAGACATCGAACAGCTCTTTCTAAACTCGAATGAAGCGATATGTCTGCTTTATGTGTATGTGTTAGTTAATGATGTAAGGCAGAGGCACAACCTAACATACACTGCTCAAAAAAATTACAGGAACATTTTTTAATCAAATTATAGCATCAACTCAATTCAACTTCTGGGATATTGATCTGGTCAGTTAAGTAGCAGGGGGAGTTGTTAATCAGTTTCAGCTGCTTTGGTGTTGAAATGAAATTAACAACAGGTGTAGAGGAGCAACAATGAGACGACCCCCAAAACAGGAATGGTTTAATAGGTGGAGGCCACTGGCATTTTGTCCCTCCTCATCTTTTCTGACTGATTTTTCACTAGTTTTGCAGTTGGCTTGGGTCAGCGTCACTACTAGTACCATGGTGCGGTACCTGGACCCTACAGAGGTTGCACAGGTAGTCCAACTCCTGCAAGGTGGCACATCAATATGTGCCATTGCCAGAAGGTTTGCTGTGTCTCCCAGCACAGTCTTAAGAGTACGGAGGAGATTCCAGGAGACAGGCAGTTACTCTAGGAGAGCTGGACAAGGCTGTAGAAGGTCCTTAACCCCTCAGCAGGACCGGTATCTGCTCATTTGTGCAAGGAGGAACAGGAAGAGCACTGCTAGAGCCCCAAAATGAACTCCAGCAGGCCACTGGTGTGAATGTGTCTGACCAAACAATCAGAAACTGGCTTCATGAGTGTGGCCTGAGGGCCAGATGTCCTGTAGAGGGCCCTGTGCTCACTGCCCAGCACCATAGAACTCGATTGGCATTTGCCTTAGAACACTGGAATTGGCAGATCCGCCACTGGCTGCTTTTCACAGATGAGAGCAGGTTTCACCTGAGCACATGTGACAGACATGACAAGGTCTGGAGACGCTGTGGAGAACGTTATGCCATCTGCAACATCATTCAGCATGACCGGTTTGGTGGTGGGTCAGTGATGGTCTGGGGAGGCATATCCCTGGAAGGACGCACAGACCTCTACAGGCTAGACAACGGCACCCTGACTGCTATTAGGTATCAGGATGAAATCCTTGGACCCATTATCAGACCCTACGTTGGTGCAGTGGGTCCTGGGTCCCTCCTGGTGCAGGACAATGCCCGGCCTCATGTGGCGAGAGTATGCAGGCAGTTCTTGGAGGATGAAGGAATTGATACCATTGACTGGCCCCCCCGCTCGCCTAACCTAAATCCAGTACAACACCCCTGGGACATTATCTTTCGGTCCATCCGACACCGTCATGTTGCACTTCAGACTGTCCAGGAGCTCAGTGATGCCCTGGTCCAGATCTGGGAGGAGATCCCCCAGGACACCATCCGTCGTCTCATTAGGAGCATGCCCCAACGTTCTCAGGCATGCATACAAGCACGTGGAGGCCATACAAACTACTGAGTACCATTTTGAGTTGCTGCAATGGAATTCTGGCTAAATGGATTAGCCTGCTGCATCATTTTTTTGCTTTGATTTTTGGAGTGTTTTTGAATCCAACCGTCTGTAGGGTGATAATTTTCATTCCATCAAACGATGTGGCATCCTTTCATTCCTAACACATTACCCAGTCCATATCAGGAAAGATATTCTGCATGATTTTTTTTCCCTTTGAGATCTGATGTGTTTTCAAAGCGTTCCTTTTTTTGAGCAGTGTATTTTGTTTTGTTGAATAATTAAAAAAAATATTTAAGTTGGAATAAACATATTTTTATACAAGCAACATCCACATCTCTGCTACAATCGAACAGAAACTTTATATCTAGCACTTACTGTTGATGTACAAAATGAGTGAAGTGCAACGTTCCAGTTTAGCCCATCGTGTAACGTGCCAACCAGATTCAGTCGCTTGCGGATGTAAAACACAAATGAGGCTTTACTGAAAGATTCAAAGTCCAGAGTGAGGAAATGTAGTAATGTGTCCAGAAAGTCACGTTGCTTCCATAACAACACAAAAAGTGTGTTAAATTGCGCTCCCCTACTGTTCATCCACATCAATTTTAAGATGGTTCACACTGTGCCAGAGACTGCTGCGCTTTGACAAACAAAAAAGTGTTGTTGGCACAACAGTTAAGTTAGGCCCAGATAGTTATGACCAACCTAGCTTACAACAGAACATAAGCCTTGTTGGTGCAACCGGCCTCAGGAGCATTTCTTCATAAACAGTTAATTTAACCCATGAACTTTTTCTGTTCCTCTTAGGGGCAGAGAGCAGTGGTCTGAATGTGTCATACGAGCTCAGAGCAGACCTGATGAGACAATGGAGTAGAGCATTTTTCCTCCCAGAAGATAAAACGTCCAGGAGTCTCCTAAATTCTGTGCTGTTGGACTCACATTATTCCTGCTTCAACCACACTGTGTACATGCCAGTATGTGACTCCATCATCTAACTCAGAAAGTCCCAACCCTGATCCAGAAGGTCTACCATCCCTTTTAAAACCTCATCCTAATCTAGCACCTAAAATGTTTCTGAAGGGCTGGATTTGTCAGAGCAGAGTTTTAGCTAAACTCTGCTTTAACTCCAGGATCAGGGTTGGAACTCCTGATCTAACCACACCATCTACATAACACTGCAAATCTAATCTCTGTGTCATGATCTACCAGTCAAATTGTCTTCCTGTTTCAGAACTGTGTGAAGGACACAGTGTCTCCTGTGTTCATCCGGCTGAATTTCTCCCAGGTTGAGCAGCAGCCAAGCAGCTCCAGTGCTGTTCTTAACATTGACAGCAGAACAACTGCTAATGTGGAGGTGAGCCATGTTTCTGTTAGTCTGTATGACTGAGTGTCAATCAAGTCTCAGACTGTAGATGATGAGGCTTCACCTGGATCCAGAGCCTCCACTGTGCAATCAGCCCTCCTGCTGCGGTGTTGGCCAACTGGGTCATCTAAGGTCTGATAGAGCAATGAGGCAAGGACTCTAATGAGGTTCTAAGTGAGGTCATCACATATCCTCAGAGTGTACCACACCCCCAAGATCAAACTCTCACTATACATCTACTGTAAACATTCAAGCATTCAAATACAAGTTGCTTAATCCCTTTTACTGAGTTCCTGACTCAAATACACCCTTAGTTAGCTATTGTTTTTAACCTTACATAACATTATAAGAATGTTTTTTTCAGATTTCTAGTGGGACATTTCAACAATTTACTTCTGGCCTCTGTTTGATCCGTTTACTCCTGTGGTTCCAGATTCCCTTCCAAAGAAACTGTGGGAATGTGAGCTGTGTGGCAGATCTAGAGCTGGACTTTGACTTCTTGTAAGAATCTCATCAGACTCAAACACACACAGGTGGATCTGAAGATGGAATCTGTGAAACTCTGTTTTATCTGCTTTTTGAAGTGTTTGTTGTCCACTTTCAGGAACAGGACTTTGCTGGTGGTGGATCAGTCATATTTCATCATCAATGTTTCTCTGCTGAACAAAGGAGATGATTCCTTCAACACCAGTGTGGAGCTTCGCTACCCAGAGGGCCTGTCGCTCTCCAAGTTTGACACTATTACGGTACAGCTAATTAGAATCATTAATGCAAAGACAACAGTCCCAGTGAAACTACTCTGTTACTGTTGCTGACCCCAGAAAATGTTAGCAACCTGCACTTAGCGCCTTTGATGATGAGAAAGTACTTGGCTTGGCTAATTTGGAAATATTTCCAGGTTTACAGGAGAGGAGGAGTCACATGGGTAAATGGTAGAAACAAATTTAGATTTTCAGGATGCATCTTATCAGACTGGCAACTTTTTGTTGCCAGTTGCCAGCAGAGCTACCTGCCCATTATCCACTATACACATATTTTTTTTCTTATTTTTCCCCAATTTAGTCATTACCAATTCCACGCATTAGCTAGCCCTCTCTCTCTAATGCTACACCACCAGATACACCACCAACTGCACAATGCTACTAAGCTGTGATGGCGAAGGCTAGCATGTGCTTACGCCAAGAAAATCGAAGCAAGCCAATATCATCGGACAGCTCAACACACTTGGAGGAGAATCCTGATGGGCAATTCTTTTTACATCAGCTAACAGGGTCACGGGGGAGCAGAAGGGAGGCCAATTAGGCCCTCTTGGACTCCTGGCCTTGGATGGCTGTGACATCAGTATTTTACTGTACTTGAACAAACATTTTGAAACTGTGCTGTACGCAGTGTGATGCTCCTGAGAGAAATGACTGTTGTGATGTAACACAGTACCTGTAATGTCTCTTCCAGGCCAGCAGGAGGACTCTGAGCAGTTGTGGAGATCGAGACGATGGTGCTCTGGATAAAACCACCTGCAGCATCAGTTTACCAGTGTACCGCAAAGGCACCAGCGTAAGAGATATACTGTATTTATGACAACCTGAGGTTTTTCAAACATGTATTGCAATCTTTGGAGATATTGATAGATATCTAGTGTTTAAAATACTTCCTAACTACTTTTGAATAGCACTATACCAGTGCTCACCAACTCTCCTTTTCAAAATCTTTTGCTTTCCTGCAAAGTTTAGTTCCTCCAGCAAAGTTTAGTATCTAATATTCTGCCCCTGCCCTTTACACAACACTAATGCGTGTGATCCAGACAATCAGGAACTTCTGAATATGTTAATTAGCTGAAGTATGTTTGGCAGACTGTGGTTGGAACAAGGCCTAGCAGGCCAGGGTTGGTGATAAAGGATGCTATTGGAAATATATAAACTGTTATGTATAGTGAGGTGTACACCTGTATACTGTCACATTTGTACATATATAATCACCCAACAGTTGAAACAAAGAACAAAGATTTGGTTGTTTAACCTCAACTGCAGCACTATTTAGGTGTATAGTATGATAATGATTGTCCATTACATTTTGTAGGCAACATTCCGGGCTACGTTTCGTATCTCTGGATCCTACAGCTGGAGTGACACGATGGAGATGACTCTTGTGGCCAACAGGTAAGTACAATCATATTGGTAAAGCACATAGGATCATTCTCAGTTTCTTCAGGCTGTTGTGTAATGTGTTATCTAATGCATCAAAAGACAAATGTAATTTAAGTTTACAATGGAAAACATTAGTGTATGTAAGTGAAGGAGTCTTTCAGACTGCAGTTCCATTTAATGAACTACTACTCTGTTTTATGCTCTATGTGAGAATGAGTTTAATTCTCTTTATGTGTTTACAGTAGTAACAATGGTAACCAAACTAACGGAACAGTGACGAAATCTCTGCCAGTTCAGTTCGCTGTAGATGTGGCCGTCAGCTTGTGAGTAACATTTCTTTCCAAAGGCATGAACCAAAACCAATCTCTTGACTGCATACAAACACTCCAGGAAGGGTCTCATTGTGGTATTTTGTGAAGTCAATATTTGAGTCAGCTTGAAACTGGGCAACATCTACCTTCTGGCACAGCATGACTAACTGCCAAAACTGACTGGAGTCAGGAGACTAGAGACTGGCTGCTTGCATTTTTAGGATAGTCCAGTCCTTACGTATCTCTCTCTTCCATGACCATCACCATCGTAACAGAGACCTCCACTCTGCATTTCTTAAGGAGGTGCTCTATACATGTTTTCCCCCTCTCGGGTTGGACTGCCTCAGAGTTCTACAGTGAGATGCTGAGGTTTTTGCCACTTGATGGGTAATTTTGAGTTTGTCAGCAAGACATAAGTAAGGAAAGATAAGGAAAAGTCTGTGTGTCCCTGGCCCAAACCATTGTTTGTGTTCCTTGAAGTATCACTGAGTATTTGTGACTGAAACCAAGGGAGGGGGAAGTGGGTTGCCAGTAAGTTAAATCCTTGGTTCTCATTTCTCTCAGCTGACTCCTCTGACCTCTCCCATCTGTCACAAAAGGGCAAAGTACAAGGAACTGCATCCCCCAGTTCAGGCCACATGAAACAAACTCATAATTTGTCAGGACCCACCCAGGTGCATTAAAAAGCTAAGTGAGGGAGTGCCACACTATTTATGTTCCAGGTGAGGAATAACCATCATCTGTACTCAATGTCTTTGGCCCTTATGCTTGATCTGGAACCAAGAGACACGCAGGCATGTCCCTGTGAAGACACTGCAACTTTGCTGTCTTGTGCTTTGCTGCAACTTGAATTTAAGCCTTGGCGTATAAAGGACACCGTCTGAATCCACCACAGCATGATGTATACTTTACTTGATGAATACTGACTGGTAATCTTTTTGCTGCTGCTGGATCAAAAGAGCCTTGTAAAGGTTCAGACACGTAGAGCCCAAAAAATTTTTCCATCTCCTAAAAATGTTCTGGTTCTCCACTGTCCGGGCATGGTGTCATCTTAAGTGGGCTGTGGTAACTTGGCAAAAAGAAAGGAGGGAAAATGGAAAGGAGACAAATTGCTCCACTGTATCACCAGCTGAACAACCATAGCAGGTTCCAACGGGGCCACAGCTACGGAGCAGTGAGCTAGGCCTCTCTTATGACTAGAGGGCTTGGTGGTTGCATTGCTCTTCATTTTCAGGGGATGTCAGGGTTCAGTAGCCCCATTAAGCACACTTCTAACTTGGTAAAGCGGGATAAACCCCAGTAAATGATGAGTGAAGTAGAGGTGTATAACATTAGCCATGCATCACTGCATCATCCTTTAGGACACAGCACATGTGCCTATTGTTAGTTTGTTCACAGTTGCACCTGCCTGGGTTTCACTCCCTGCTCCTTGGACTGTTCTTTGCTGTTTGGTTGTATTTAATGACAAAATGATCGATATTTCTACGGTCTAAAATGACTTAACACCCAGTTTAGAGTGAGCAGGTCCTAAATAGCTTGTAGCAAATTGTATTCAGCATGAATTGAAAGCAGTTGATTTGGCTTTCTTTTTTGATTCGTACACTGGTAGTACCTTCAGTAATATAAAGTTATTTGAGTGGGTGGCAGTCCAGTTATGTGTAATGACCATGTGATCAATGTGTGATCATGAGTGTTCTTGTCATTAATTCTACTGCCTGATATTCTATTGCCACCTGTTGGATATTCACAAGCATAACACCTCTTATGCCGTTGTATTGGATTCTACAGAGCAGCACTATTTCTTGTTTATCATTTTCACTGTAAAATCCAAAGAGTTAGGCCAGTTGATGTACTGCCAGCAAAGTGATGCACAATGTGGGCAGTAGTTTTGTATTGTATTTTGGTCACTGCAGCACTGTAACTCTTCATTTCTCTATTTCCCAGAGAGCATTCTGTAACCTATCTGAATTTCTCTCTGGAAGACAAAGGCCCAAAGCCTGTTCACATTGTCTATAAGGTGAGTGGCTTCTAAACACAATGCATGACCGTTCACTTCCTCTAGATGTCTCAACCCACCACAGACTCCTCTAAAGTTACTCCTACCCCACTACAGATTTCCCTACAGATACACCAGCAACTGCAGACTCCTCTATAGATACCCCCAACTACTACAACATTATTCTTACCCCACTACAGATCCCTCAAATTTATCTTTCCCCTCCTACAGATTCCTCTAAAGTTGACGGTGGAATTTGTGAGATAGATCAAAGAGATGTTTTATGCATGTGTATATATTACATTTGTGTATATGCATCTGTTAACAGGTGATGAATCAAGGAGTTAAAGGTCTACCTGTTTCAGTAAAGTTCATGATGCCATCTAAGATTGGGGAGAACTTCATTCTAGAAAAGCACATCATCACTATACCAGAGGTGTTCATTCATTCATTCATTCATTCATTCATTCATTCTTTTATGCATTAGATTTCCCTTCTCTGTGTAAATGATTCACATATTTATAAATCATCTATTATACTACAAATCTGTCTTTACAGAACCTGACAGACTGCAGCTTCAGAAGGAAAAATGACTCTGCTGTAAGATATGCCTTTGTTAACATTGTGTAAAAATGAATAAGCACTGTCTGTCTGTTCTTTTACTTTTTCCCTTCATTTAAATGTCATTCATTGCATTTAGAATTGCAGAACACAACTGATCTCATTAACTCATTAAATATCTATGAAATTATTCACACATCAAGAATTACTAATGCAATTCACATTTTGTTGAAGTGTTGCATTTTGTTGTTGAAATTACAACAAACTACAAATTTCTGAAGCAGATTTCTGGACAGATTCATGAATAAAAAACAAAACTTTGGTATAAAGCAGTTCAGATTAAAGCCTTTTTAGCCACAGTGTTAAGCATCGCCAAGAAACCATTCATATTGTAGTAATCACACTGTTCAAGGAGAGGCAGCTTTCACAGAGGTTGTGGAGCTTTATTAACCAGCTGTTGTTCCCCACAGCCACATCGTATATAAGCAGTATGTTCTGTGAGAGAGTTCACTCCAGCCTCGCCATGTCTTACTTTCAAGCACAGATCAGACAGATGTAATCTGGAACAGCTAAGAATCTGATGTATACAGAACAGTGTTTTCTGTGTAAAGAGTCATCATAAAATATCCATTTTGCACAAATTGGCCTTTATTCATCAGTATGGTCAAATAGTCATTAATTATTTAATCTTTAGCTTGTCTGTACGATCAAACTCTTGTCCAGAAATAATGTGTGTAAATTAGAGTGTACAGCTGAAAAAATCTTGATTTGTGGTTGATTAACCAAAACTAATACGAATATCATCTGTTGTCATTGATTCCTGAGCTGCTGAATGCTACCGACCTACACATATTGATTTCACACACTGAAACTGATTCTTCATTTGCGTTCAAATCTCCACTTGTTTCCATGTTGTATGAAAATTTTCGTGAATCTGACAGATTAGTTTGTACATCATTAAATGTCTGTGTTTTTTTATACTCAACTTTTAGGAATAATAGCCATTTTGTTTCTTCAACAGTGCAAATAAAATTTGGCTCCAGAATTGACCCCTGAGGGACACCTTTTATGACGTGCAAAAATTTTACCGTTCTCTGTGTGAATGATTCACATGTTCACAAATAATCTGTCATACTAAAACCTTTTCTTTACAGAGCCTGACAGGCTGTATTCTCAGAGAGGAAACTGACCCTGCTGTAAGCCATGCCTTTGGTTTATTAACATTCTGTGAAAACAACTAAGCACATCTGTCTATTGTTTGTTTATTTCTTCTAACAAAAAGCTAAATAAACACAGATTTATAGCGATTTGCAGCATCTGTTTTTTCAGTAAAGAATAAAAGAGTAAAACTCATTTGGGTGAAGGTTGTGGATGTGAGACACGATCAGTGTGTGGTCGTTTTTGGTATTTACATTGTATTGGCACTTGATTGTCCTCCTGCCATAAACTCAATAACTTAAAGAACTCACATTAGACACACTATACAAGTGATTTTATTTACTCCCTGTAATTAGATTTTTCACGTTCTTAGATTTCACTGGCTGTTAATGGGATCTCTTTAGATCAGGGGTGTCCAAACTTTTTTCACGCGAGGAGCTGCGACGAGCTACTGTGTTTCCTATCACTGTGTAAAAGATGCTCAAGGCTTCACTTATTGCTGATCTGCTCATTCAGTGTAATTTGGATCAGTAAGCAATTAAAAATATTGATTTGATTATTCAGGATAACAGCAAATATAATGTGATGTATATGCTGTGTTTCATGTCTGTTGATATTAAATTTAACAGTCTTTTGAAATATGAGGCTCATTTGCTGCGGCTCTCAATGAAAAGTGGGTCAGTAAATGAAGCTGCAGGTCAGTCAGAGAAGAAAGGCTCTTAAACTTAAGCGAACTTCGTTACCGCAGTGCAGCGTTACACTGTAATCGTACAGCACTGCTTACAGAGGGAGGTGCTCAGGCCCAGTAGGCTCAGTTTTCCAATCAGCTGCTGAGGGATGATGGTGTTGAATGCTGAACTGACGTCTATGAACAGCCTTCTGACATAGGTGGCTCTATGACGGTAGTCATTGAGGCAGGACACTGGAGACTTCTTCAGCACAGGGATGATGGTGGTGGACTTGGAGCACGTTGGAACGACTGCAGTGCTCAGAGCGATGTTGAATATGTCCGTGAGACCATCAGCCAGCTGTTCAGCGCATTCTCTGAGCACTCTGCCCGGTATGCTGTCAGATCCTGGGGCTTTCCGTGGGTTGACTCTGTGTAGAGTTCTCCGCACATCAGCTGTGGACAGACACAGCACCTGTTCATTTGGAGGAGGTGTGGTTTTCCTCACCGCCGTGCCGTTCTGTGCTTCAAACCAGGCAGAGAAGTTTAGCGCGTTCGGGAGGGAGGCATCACTGTCATAAGCAGGTGGAGGTGTCTTGTAATTGGTGATGGCCTGGATGCCCTGCCACATGCGCCGTGTGTCAGCAGTGTTTTGAAAGTGATTGTGGATTTTCTTTGAGTAGGCACGCTTAGCCTCTTTGATGGCCCGGGAAAGCTTGGCTCTTGCTATCCTGAGGCTTGCTCTGTCCCTTGACTTGAAAGCCTTGTGACGGGTTCTCAGCAGCATGTGCACCTCTGCAGTCATCCATGGTTTCTGGTTGGGGTGAGTTGTGACGAGTTTGGAGACAGTAACATCTTCAATGCACTCGCTGATGTAGCCAGTCACTGATTCTGTATAGTCCTCCAGGTTGGTGAAGCACTGGAAGCTATATAAACTGCTACTATGTACAGCGTAGTCAGCTCTCTTGGCAAATAAAAGGGCCTGCCTCTGACAATCGCAAACTCCACCAGTGGTGAGTAGTGACTACAGACTAGTGCCACGTTCCTACACCATTCAGTGTTGATGTAAACACACAGTCCCCCACCTCGAGTCTTACCGCACAGCTCAGCGTCTCTGTCCGCACGGAAGCACAACAGGCCGTCGAGCTGAACAGGCTTTCTCGCGCATCGCTTTTGGCCAGCAGGCTCACGCAGCGCCGTGGATCTTAGCAGGCCTAGCTCGCACAGCTCTTCCCGCAGTCTGTCTGGGAGCAGAGATTGAGGCTGATTTCTCAGCTGTAGCAGGTTTTGGTGATGGTAGATGTTGGTGCTGGTTGTAGCAATCATGATTTTTGAGTTTTGGTTGGGTTACATGACAGATAGTAAAACAAAAAGGGCAAAAAAGCACCGTTTTGTTGTTCCCGAAGTGGCTGCTGCAGCTACACGCCACGCCACCGGAAACAGAAAAATCTATGACACTGTGACTTTGGACGCCCCTGATTCAGATCAACATCAGTACACACATCTAGGTTACATCCAGATTCTAAAAAGGTTTAATGTTCTTTATTAATAAGCACTGATTTTCTTTGTTTTATTCTAAAATTCTCTTTGTTTGTTTTGTTTTTGTTTACTCCAGTTGTGTTTGAAGCAGAAGAGCTGTGTAAGGTTTGAATGTTCGTCCTTCTGCCTGGAGAAAGACTCTGCTGTTAAGTTTGAGCTGAAAGCCCAGCTCACCTTCCTCAACCCAAAGCAGTACACAGGGGTGAGACCCATTTGATATGTTTAATCAACTTTCTGCACAAATTCTGCACAAAAATGTTTGTTTGGGTTTATTGAAGAAAATCTGTCACATGACAGTAAATTTAGAGGTAAATGCATCATTTTTTCCCCATTGATAAACTAATTTTATTGAGCTAAACTGAATAACTTACATCATCTTTTTGAAGCATTACATTTTTTTTTAATGCTTTGGATGGAAATGTAGCTATAAACACAAACAGGCTGTGTTTAGATCTGATGATTGTATCTTGTGCCTCAAAACTAAATTAAAACTGTTCTCCATGTTTTCCTCTCCAGAGATTTCGGTTCAGTGAGTTCAGTTTGGAGGACGGGTTCTCAAGCTCTGCTGAGCTGGACTTTGACAAAAGCCTCTACCATCAGATGTCTAACGGCCCACAGGTGAGAGCCGTGATCAGACAGCAGCCCAGCACTTTAACTTCCTGTTACTCCTGTATCAACTTCCTTCTTTCTTGTTTTGCAGGACGATGCCACCAAATACCACAAAGCACAGGTACAAAATTAAACTTTCTTTGCTTTAAGTTATGTTTTAATGTTTATCTTTAAGGGCAAGTCCACCACAAATCACCAAATTTCAGTAAAACTTCCTGATTGATTATCTCAGATTTGCTGAACGTTTTTAGGATATAATGTGTTTGTGTCCAACAGATATTACCTCAAATTTCAGGCTTGTATTTTCTTTAGTTTCAGAGATTAGCTCAAAAATGAAGTTGCCTTAATTGAATTCTACGAAAAAATGTACAAACTTTGATACATCATAACCTTTGACCTTTTGATGCAATCTTCATGACTTTTTCAAAGGTTATTCTTTGGTTTAATGTGGGCTAAAATACCAAGACAAAAGATACAGAGATGCATGTTTACTACTTTATGCCTTGCCGAACATCCATAAAATATTTTTTTTTGTTCATTGGAGTATATTTGACTCACCATATCTCCATAAAGTAGCACATCAGATCTTTTAAATTTTGGCTTTTATTACTCATATCACAGTACTATTTTAGCATTTAATTATTTGTCTAAAGCTACGCTTACATTTCAATAATGTTTATATTGAAAAAAAAGCTAAAAAAAACTAAAAAGCATTTTTTATTTATACAAATGAAAAGATGTTTCCATTATCAAATCCACCAAATATGAAGTTGTTATCTTTCCACACAACATATTATGCGTGCACAAAACCACATTAGGCACCTATTCTAAAGTCTATATCTAAATAATCTATTCATCAATCTTCTATCAGACTTTGAAATATTACAATGTCAGAGAAATGAAGCCTAAAAACAGTGAAATACTGAAAGTTTTTTCTGTGTGTCTGATCTCAGGCCACTGTTAAAGCTGAGCTGATTATTCCTCCTGATATGTATATGATCGTGGGCTCGGGTGCAGGAGGTGGGCTCCTCCTACTCATCATCATCTTTGTGCTGATGTGGAAGGTAAGAGCCAGTCAAAGCGCACTCCATCATCCAAGATTAAACCAACCACCACCATTAAATCAATCAACCAAAACCACCTACATCTGATTAACATGCAGACCGACCAATCACACACCGCTGTTTTAGCATAATGAGTTGCCTGTTGTCAGAATTTTGCTACAACATAAACACAAAGTGGTTTAACTGCCTGCAAACACATGAGGATATCTCAGCTCACAGCCACTAACCTCAAACTACAGTTATTGGATACTTTTTAAAGATGATCAGTTTCAGTCCGGCGACTACCTCTCAGTGCGAAAGGCTGAAAAACATTTGGGTGAGGATCGTGGATGAGAGATGTTTTTGGAATTCGTGTTTCGTTCAGGCACTTGACTATGCTCCAGCCCTAAACTCTGGAGTTGAGTAGAAATATCAAAATTGTTTGATGTACTTCGTCTGAAACTTGATCTGAAGGCAAAAATCTCAATCACTCGATTTTTGTTAACGCTTTGTTTAACAGTCCTCCAGGTTCTAGGCATTAGCTGGGTAAGTGTGAGGTACAAACTCCCAAGTACTACGACTAATTATTCTGCTTAAAATGTAACACCAAGACAGTCTAACTGAAATACACTGAACTATGCACAATATTAAGCAGGTAGAGGACATAATAAAACATCTCCTATTTTACAGTAACAAGGTGGTTAATGCTATTTTTCTTTGTAATGTCACACATTGAAGCAGGAAGTACATTGGAAGCACCTCCAACAGGAACCTATATGGGGTAAAAAGCCGAAACAAGAACATCAGAGCTGTATGTAATATGTATTTAAGTCTGGACCGTAAAAAAAGTAATAGTTCTTATTATGGTGTGAAATTTAGTGTGTAATGTTCATATTTACCACCTTTTTACTTTAAATAATAAAAATAGCTCTGTTTATCTAGAACCTGTTGGATAGTTCAGAGAAGCTTGGTTAAACTGCCTTTGAACTTAACAAAACAATTATTTAATACTTTGGTGTTTGTACTTCACATTTGCCCACTTAAAACCAAGTATTAATGTTATTAAATTAATATAATTAATACTTATAATTAATAATTAATACCTATTGACTAAAAAAAGCAGCAACTTCCTCTCCCAACTGTCCACTCTGACTGCCCCAAAATCTGCAGACTAACACAGACTCAGCCAGCCTGAGAAACAGGGCTAAAATTGTGCAGTGTTAAAGGAAGTAGGGGACGGGAGTGGGTTTGTGGGTAATTTGCTGGGTAAGCAATTTACCTTTTTATTGCTAAATTAAATTCCTGTGTTGCGACTCTTTTAATGTCCAGAGTACAATCAAAACACGCAAAACAAGCTTTCTACTAAAACGCTTTCACTAGCTAACAGAACTGTTTCGTATGTGAGTCTGGATACATTTCTGGATTTTTATCTTGAGATAAGTTAATTATCTTGTGATTTCAAGACAACAACTTTGAAATCACAGGATAATTAACTCGTTATCTTAAGATAACAAACCATAAAATTATAACTGGGAGCAGCAAAACGTTGCTGGCAGAGCAGCGCTGGAGTTTTCTGGGGGACTTTTCAGTCGTGCCACCTTACGCTATGTCCATATACTAACGACAAGGTTAACAATGCTGATGAGCACACCAGCGCCCCCTATTGTGGGTTCCCCAAGGTGGTGGATTGGGGTGGTGATGAGGGAAAGTCAACAGGGCCACATTAAAAACAGAACTGAAACAGAGCTCTTTTCCTCTCTCACTTCCTCTGCAGTTGGGGTGCTTTAAGCGTAAGCTTCCATGTGGAGAAGATGGACAGTATGTAGGTAGAGAATATCACTTTGAAGAAAAAGAGAAGGACTTCAGTGATTCTAATGGAAAGAGTGAGGAGTCGTCTCCTGAACCTGAAGATAAACTCCTCATCGTCAACGGCTCTGAGAATGGAGGAACACCAGCGTTAGAAGCAGCGAAAGATGAAAGTGGAGAGTAAAGAGGCTTTGCTGTGAGATCAAACCTTCATTTAGCTCAAAACCATCATTTTGGTATAGAGAGAACTTCTGTAGGCTCTTTAAGTTCTTTGCAGGCTTGTGTTTGTGGCTCTTTGATTAATTTGGAAATTAATGTGCTTAATTCACCTTTTGTCCATCATCAAACTAAAACAAGCCTGTTTAAATTTTACAGAGACCATTAAAAAGGGAATTCCACCAGTTCATCAGCAGTCCTGCATAATTAAATGGTTGCGATGTAAACAGAGGTGTGTCACGACCCCCTGTCGCAATGTTCCTTTAATGTAGGCAATTTTGTGTACGTTCCGTCTTGTGTTGCATTACATGAAGGTACCTGATTGGCCACACAGGAGCACCCCACATATAAAAGGACAGTAACATGTCAACCACTGAATTATGGGGTAATTTTTTAAAAAAACTGGAATTCTCATAAAGTGTATTTGCTTAGAAATAACGACTGGTGTGTATTTAGAGTTTTAACGTTCTTTAAATGTAAGGAATATTTTGACACATTGTTAGTTGTAAATGTATGTAAAAAGCTGTTTCCTGTCAAAAGTATGAAAACAAATGGCTCAGAATGTTTTTGCCATCGTTATTCATCACTGGTGTTTCATGACTGTATCAACTAGGATTAAACCAGATTTTATATATATTTTAACAAACCTTGTCAGTTTTATGTGAAAACTAATAAATCATTTACCTCCTCAGGTAAAAAGGATCAGGTACAGTAGGTTGTATTATTTACATACATGTCTAAGTTATCGATCTGGATTCTTCTTCTTTACCGTCACTTTCATTTTACATTTTTACTTTTTTATTATTTCACCGGTGTCTGGTGAGACGGTGGCTGATGGCTGATTGATGATACACTGCTCACTTGTGTGAGCCAATCAGATTCAGAGAGATGGTTTTTCAGGTGTGTTTTTATTCATTTTATGTTACAGGATGTTAAAACCATTTGTTTGTATTTCTGTACAGCATGTGACAAATATATGGGAATATTTTATATTGTGCATATATTACTGTTACTCATACTGTTACTGTTATTGTTACTGCTATTGGTTTTGTTATTCATTCTGTTTCTTTAACTCGTACTGCTACTGTTACTCATATCTATACTGTTACTTTTGTTTGTATCTGTTACTGCCACAGAGAGTTTTACTGCTCCTGTCAGTTTCACTGTTACTTATACCCATACTGTTACTTTAACTGTTACTGGTACTGATACTGATATACTTAATCTTACTGATACTGCTACCGCTATTGCTACCGTTAAGGTACTGTTACTGGTACTTAGATGTTTTGAAAGAATATTTTTCACCACAGCATTTTATTTTCTTTTGTATTTTCATATCTTTTACATGATATACATATTGCATTTCTTTTCCTTATCTTTCTGTATTGTATGTATTTATAAATATTAAAAAATCAACATTAATATTAAGCTGTGGATGTTTTAGCAGAATTAGATGCTTAGCAGTAAAGTAATAGGAAATAAGTAACTATACTATTAGACTTTACAAATAAATAAAGAACAATTAGAATCAGAAAAAACACATTACAATTTTCTGAAAATAATTTCCGTATTATTTTATATTTCCATCAGTAATTTGATGTAAGTAATTTAATGCTACTGAAATGTGCTTTTGTCGGTGTAGCTAATGACTTCCTCTCGCTGGTCCAGACGCGCTCTCATAATGGGAATATATACCTCGGGACAGCTTTTTAAAGTTGTGGTGTTGGGTTACAGAGCTAGGAAGGATATGTCCCCAAATCCCTCTTCTTCAGCACTTTTAATGTCTGGAGCACAATCGCTAACACAAGCACAACAATAGTTCATGAACCTCTAATGTTAACTAATATTCATTCTACAAATGAATGTTTTTTGAACACCATTAGATTTAGTTTGAGGTGTTAGTTTGATCGATTCAGTGAAATGAATTCAGATACTTTATTTGAAGGCAATAACTCAGGTATCCATTAACTCTTTATCCTGAGTTCAGTCGTGTTGTTAAACAAAAGGGAAACGTGAAAATGAAAGGCATCTTTTTACCCATCTTGTTAGATCCATGTGCTAACTGCAAACTTGTTGTCCATAAGTCAGTGATGACCAGCGCACCGGTGCCCCTTAAAGTAATCTCCTTCATTCTAGGCACCTTGGGTTAGGGGGTGGTGCCATCCCCTGTGTTTTTGGGTAGATTAGCCTACTGTAGTTAGTTAGTCTGTTTGGTAGTCATATCCTGTCTTCCACCCAATGACTGCTGGGATAGGCTCCAGCTCCCCCCGCGACCCAGAAGGATAAGTGGCTTAGAAAATGTCTGTGTGTGTGTGTGTTTGGTAGTCAGGCTAGACAGAGTTAACAAATTAGGTGAAAACCACAGTGACAAGCTTTCTCCACTCTCTGTCGAGACACTTTCATTTGGAAGTGTTTCTAGTTTGACAAAAGGAAAGGAGACGAAGAAACAAGTGGAAAAAAAAAAGATCTGCCAGTTAATTTGGGTTCATAATTAGAGACTACATTAATTTATTCTGCTTTCATCCACTGTCATTGTGAAATTGGTGTTAGTACAGTTTAAATTGTGCTGGATGCTGCGATAAATCTTATTCAGTAAGCTGATCCTGAGATAAATGACTGTTATATCTTATCCAGGCCAGTAGGAGGAGGAGTTCTGCACCATCAGTCTACAGTAACACAGAGTCAGAAGAGTAAGCAAGGTAGACTTTATTTACACTGCACTGACAATTTTGTGAAAATTTAGAAATGTATTACAAATCACACATTAATCATTTTTAAAAACACAATTATAAGATGGAACATAAGGAATGGATAAGTATTCGGTTATAATTATTCCTCTGAAGGAACCCACCCAAAACAGATCCCTCTGAAGTTTTTGTGACCCTATAATAGACCCCCTAAAATGCCCCGCCTCACAACTAAGCCCCCTGAAGGATTGTGCCCAAAACAGATCCCCTAAAATTTACCCCACCCCCTGCCGATTCTACCAGTTACCCTCATCTCACCACAGATGGCTCCAACCCAAAAACAGGTTCCAATAAAGTTTTTCCGTCCCAGTAGATCCCCCTAAAGGTACCCACCCCACTACAGACTGATATAGGAAATATATCCTGATCAGGTTTGTCATATCGTCTTGTCATGTCAGTTTTATGTGCATATATGCAAATGTATTTGTCTCTATGTACTCAACTCCCACCCCCCATCACCACCCCCAGTATCTATCTATGCACGTCTAAGTCTCTGTAAACTCTAATGTCTCAAAGTCTGCAAACTCTACAAAGCCCACTGTTTTTTGTTTACTTGTGTCCAAGTTTATGGTTTTCTCTTTTTTTTTTTGGAAAGCATCCAAGTGTGTCCCATTTCTGAAAGGTGAAAAATGTTGCAAGACCACACTAACCACTAAATCCCAGGTCTTCTGTGGACTTGCAGACATGGGGACCAAGAAAGTCCACAAGGCCACAGGGCACTAATTCTGCCTTTAATCATTACCATAAAGGATATAATGCAGACTTTCCACAGATTTCCAGAAAGGCCACTGGGGATGCAGGCTTTCGCTGTTAGAGTTACTCAAAAGTCATAACAAAATGCACAAGATGACATAAACAAACTGGGAGTATTTCTTGTTTGGCGCTGTAATGTCATGTATAATTTTACAGAATATCTCCTGAAAAAAATCGCCCCAAAGATGTTTCTAGATTCAGAGGCTGAGGCGCCCTCTGCTGTTCAAATGGCCTTTGCTATTTGTAGCCTGAATCCTTTAAAAGTGAACTGAATCTCTTTTAAAATAAACTGATTAGATTAAATCATAAACTGAAAAACAGTGAGCCTTACCTTTAGGAAATACATTATTTCACTTCCTGCTGGTGTGGGTTTCCTCTCTTTCAGCAATTCACAGCAAAACTCAGGTGCTAATCTGAATGGAATCTATTTTTTGTGGAGAATGAATTTTCTGCACATTTCACAAATTCAAACTTTTTCCAAGCTGCTTCTGTTTTTTCGCAGTTAAAATGATGAATTCTTATCTAAGTGCTACAATACTTTAATTTGTGGCTATAATGCTAATAATCTTTGTAACATAAGTGCTACCTGTTGAAAAAGTTTACATATAGACCTGCAATAAACACCCATTATATTCAATGTAATATACTAAACATATCCTTTCACAGAATAATGAGTCTGTTCAATGCGCTGGTGGTTTTCCAACAGGCTGTTTCAGAAATACTGGGGAAGAATGTTAGTATTGCAAGAACGACCCAACCTCAGTTAAATGATTGCTAGCGTTTGTAAAACTGTACATCTGTAAATATCCCTGAACAAACAATCTGAGAGTACGGACTTCTGGACAATGACCTGCACTAAAGAGAGATGATGTGGTTCACTGGCCTCAAACTAAACAAATAAAAATAGAAGTTCAGACAGACTGAAAATACAGATTAGCTCAGACCACCATAGTGTATGTTTTTGTCTGAGTTTAATGGTGGTAGATCTACCAGTTTACCTACTTTACCAGCTACCAGTTTAATTGGTCTACCAGTTTACCTACTAGACCATTTAACCAACGTGTCATCTGTTCTCACCTGCTTGCCGATCTTAGCCCAGCTTAGACCATCTAAAACCAGTTACCAGCTGGTGGCCGATTGGGTATTAGCCTGTCAGTTCTGAATAGGGTTGATTATTGAACATCACTTCTTCTCAGGAATCAGGATACAGTGGTAGGCAGTTCTTTGTTTTAATTCACTTCACATTTTTATTTTTCAAACTGAAGCTCTACCAGAGGCAGCATGGAACAGCCTACAGAGTGGAATGCTTCTGTTATGTTGTGCTCCATTATTTTTTTTTTGTTAGCTTTTAGTGGCACAATGTCCAGAACAAGCTACAAAAAGGACTTCACTCATTCAGTCCAGCAGTGGAGCTCATTAACTTAAAATGTGATTTTGTTGTTAATAAATATCACATCTAAAGAACATCTAATACATATCATACCTATAGCTTCGTCAAAGTGTTTCAATGCAGCCATGACCAAAGAAAGTGGAATGTTATTTTTAAATGTAGTATACATTAAGTAAAGTAAATTTAAGTAGAATGATTTAATAAAGACAGTGTATTATACATGACATTTGCTCTGAAATGCTCTAAAGACACTTTTAAAACTTATCACACTGTCAAGTTTCATTACTATAGATGCCCAATCCCCTCCACCCACCTACCGCTCCCCACCACCACCACTCCGCCCACCCTGGCCTGATTCTCTGCCCACTTGAGTGCCCCTCAGTCTGTCCACCTCACTGCAGTGAAAGTGAAAGTAAGTGGAGCTGCTGTGATTCTCCGGTGTTTTACAGCTGGATTAAACTTCAGAAGAGCAGCTTCGGTAAGAGTTTTTCTCAGACTGATTTCTGTTCCAGTCGAACAGCTGCACTTTAGAATTATATACTGATTTAATCTCATACTTCTAACAGAATTCAGCAAATTCAGCAGCTGCATATTGACTTCTGTTATAAGAGAATCTGAAGTAAACAGGTATGTATTTATTTTGTCAAAACATAAGACATAAAATGTCCACAACACCAATAAAAAAATCAGTTTTATGCAATATTTTAAAGTAATTGAAATGTGTCAATTTAACTAAAACACTTGGAATTAAAGACATTATAACATTATCATTTTAGTTCAGTGGTTCACAAAACCAACAGTAAAAAAAAAAAAAAAAATTTTCAAGTAACTGAAAACCAGAGGCGTCTTATTAGCTAACTAACTGAACCAGTCAGGACATTTTAAAATGGCCATTTTTAACGTAACTGGCAGCTGAAGTCATTACATGCTCAGTGAAATACAGTAAGTCAAATCTGAGACATGATATGGTCATTTCACACAAGTTGCCCATTAATCAAGTAGTCCATATATATAGAAATCATTACTTCAAAACATACTAGAGATTTTATGTACATAGTTTAACACTAAAATGATATGATTTGTTTTGTACTATTTATTTGAAAAATATAATAAATTAAAGATTACACTGTATTATAATGTTATAATGCTGTAATCTATTGATTTACGGTTCAGTTGTATTAACCAACGTAATGACTTAAGGATCGTTTTAAAATGCTGCAGCAGAATGACTTTATTTTCCATCTTCATGTTGTGTCATTGACTCTGAGTGGATCTGTTGATTTTATGGACTGTGTATGTGAATGACCATTTTGTAATGGACACTTGTTGGTTTATTTTGCAAATTTGACCAATTTTACTTTATGTAGTGCAACAAACTGAGAACATATTTGTATTCATTATTAAGCTGCTTAATATTGTCTTCATTATGAGCTGTTTTATTGTAAATGAAGGACTCCTGTCTCTCGGCTCTGAATGCGCTGTTGTTCTTACCATAAACTGTGTAATATTTGCGCACTCGCATTTCTTGCGTGAATAGTTTCACCGTGTTTTAATGAAGAGCATACAGGCTGGATGAGCGCTGAGAGAAACACCTCCCTTTCCCTCACTCTGTAACTGTGGGTTGAGTTTGTTTGTAGATGGAAATTTTCCTGCACTTTGTCCAGGTGGCAAAAGAGCTCAGTTCACCAGCTGGATTCATGTTCATAGAGTAAAGCTTCGACTAGAGAGAACGGGAGTAGATGTTTATGGTGCTTAAGAAGAGTTTTATTTTAAGTTTATTTGTATTTGTATTCTGGCTAATTTGGCCTTGGACTCTTTGGTAAGTTGGGAATGTGGTGCACACAGAAGAAGCAAATCAGAAGACAGATGGAGAGGTGGAGAGATGGAGGGATGGAGAAATCTCTCCTTCTGCTGCTCTACACAGCTACATGGGGTAAAAATATCTTTTCTCTAAAATCGCTCTTAAACCTGTCTGTGTAAATCTAAACTCTGCTGGACTTAGTTCACCTTTCTTTAAGTGCCTCTTATTGGCTCATTATCTCTCTCTGGTGTTCCAGCTGTGTCGGTATCAGACGGGTTCAACATCGATGTAACAAACCCAGAGAGGTTCTCGGGAAGTGAAGAGGATTTTTTCGGTTATCAGGGTTCTACAGTATCAGTCTGACACAAGCAAACAGTGAGTACACGCCTGATTATCAGTGTCATCCAATAGAATCGCAGCATATCATATTGAAATGTATCACAGCTTATTGTATTGAATTATTGCGTTAAATCACTGTGTGGTGTATTGCATCAATGTATTTTAACTAGCATGGTACTTTGAGAGTTTGCTTTGGACACTATAAAGCACACTTTTTTTTTAAATATTGTAAAACATTATTATATATTATACATTAACATAAGATGAATGTAAGATGAAGGCACTTTTTGCTTCAACTAAAAAATGCATTGTGTTGAGTCTCCAATATTTCACTTGAAACTAAACTCTGAATTTTGTGAATAACAAAATGGAGAATTCTTTTGCCTTCTGTGTAAAGAACTCAATAAGGTATTTAAACAGTACAATTTCTGCACATCTACATGTGCCCTTGACCCCACCAGAAACAATATATTTTGGCCCTACAAAACAAACTGTGGAGCCACAGTTTTAGTTTTCAGTGTATTGGCAGTGTGTTGTTGTATTTACAGGATCATAGTTAGTGCTCCACTGAGAAGAGACAGAGATGGAAAGGCATCAGGAGCAATTTACAGCTGCACACCGAATACAGCAACCTGTACTCTACTGTACCAGCAAGGTACTGATACACAAACACAATCAGAGCTCTACTGTACCAGCAAGGTACTGATACACAAACACAATCAGAGCTCTACTGTACCAGCAAGGCACTGATACACAAACAGAGCTCTACTGTACCAGCAAGGTACTGATACACAAACACAAACAGAGCTCTACTGTACCAGCAAGGTACTGATACACAAACACAATCAGAGCTCTACTGTACCAGCAAGGTACTGATACACAAACACAATCAGAGCTCTACTGTACCAGCAAGGCACTGATACACAAACACAATCAGAGCTCTACTGTACCAGCAAGGCACTGATACACAAACACAAACAGAGCTCTACTGTACCAGCAAGGCACTGATACACAAACACAAACAGAGCTCTACTGTACCAGCAAGGCACTGATACACAAACAGAGCTCTACTGTACCAGCAAGGTACTGATACACACAGACAGAGCTCTACTGTACCAGCAAGGTACTGATACACAAACAGAGCTCTACTGTACCAGCAAGGTACTGATACACAAACAGAGCTCTACTGTACCAGCAAGGTACTGATACACAAACACAGACAGAGCTCTACTGTACCAGCAAGGCACTGATACACAAACAGAGCTCTACTGTACCAGCAAGGCACTGATACACAAACAGAGCTCTACTGTACCAGCAAGGCACTGATACACAAACAGAGCTCTACTGTACCAGCAAGGTACTGATACACAAACACAAACAGAGCTCTACTGTACCAGCAAGGCACTGATACACAAACACAAACAGAGCTCTACTGTACCAGCAAGGTACTGATACACAAACACAAACAGAGCTCTACTGTACCAGCAAGGTACTGATACACAAACACAAACAGAGCTCTACTGTACCAGCAAGGTACTGATACACAAACAGAGCTCTACTGTACCAGCAAGGTACTGATACACAAACACAAACAGAGCTCTACTGTACCAGCAAGGTACTGATACACAAACACAAACAGAGCTCTACTGTACCAGCAAGGTACTGATACACAAACACAAACAGAGCTCTACTGTTCAGCGCTCAGTCTAGAGTTCTCTTTGGTATCTTTCCTGAGTTTTGAACCTTTTGCCTTTTCTTAAGTTGATTCATAGTGTAAATATAAAAAATAATCTCTTGAATGTTCTCTTGCCCTAGTTTTGAGGGAGTTCCCAGTTCAGTGTAACCCTTTTAAGCTTTTGGGTGGTGTGGGACATAGCATGTCAGTCTGGAATCAAGGAGATTGAGGGTTCAGTACCCGTGTCGAATTACTTGCTTTGTTTTCCTCATTTCCCTTTTTAATTTTTTCCCATTTATTTCACTGGGAATTCTGTTCTTGGACTTCAGCTCAGCCTTTAATACGATCATCCCAGGACAGCTACACAACAAACTGCTCCAACTCAAAGTGCCAACCCCCACCTGCCAGTGGATCACCAACTTCCTCAATGGCAGAGAGCAGCAGGTGAGGTTTGGGAAAGTTCACCTCAAACACCCAGATCATCAGTGCAGGCACTCCACAGGGTTGCGTACTCTCACCATTGCTCTTCTCACTGTACACTAACGACTGTACCTCCACGGACCCCTCAGTCAAAATCTTGAAGTATGCAGATGACACTACATTGGTCTCATCCGAGATGGTGATGAGTCTGCTTACAGATGGGTGATTAATCAGGTGGTCCTTTGGAGCAGCCACAACAACCTGGTGCTGAATACAACAAAAACAGTGGAGATGACAGTAGACTTCAGGAGGAGCCCTCCAACCCTGCCAGCACTCACCATCCTGGACAGAACTGTGGTGGCAGTAGAGTCCTGCAAGTTCCTGGGCACAACAATCACCAGGGACCTGAAGTGGCACAGCAACATCAGCTCTTTCATCAGAGAGGCCAGCAGAGGATGTACTTCCTGCGTCAGCTGAGGAAGTTCAACCTGCCCCAGGAGCTGATGGTGTGGTCCTACACAGCCATCATAGAGTCCGTCATCACCACATCCATCACAGTGTGGGGCAGTTCAGCCACCAAGCATGACCTCTACAGACTGCAGCGCATCATCAAGTCTGCAGAGAGGACAATTGGGGTTAAGTTACCCACACTGCTGGAACTGCATGCCTCCAGAACCAGTAAGCGTGCAGAGAAGATCTCTGCTGACTCGTCCCACCCCGGACATCACCTGTTCCAGCTCCTTCCCTCAGGCCGGCGCTTCAGTTAGATGAGGATCAGGACATCCAGGCTACAAAGGAGCTTCTTCCCACAAGCCATTACTCTCTTGAATAGATAACATATTACACATAAACAATATTCCAGCTTCTAAACTGCACTTTAAATATATTGGTATAGAGTATCACACTCAACATTTCATCCTCTGAAACTACCATCTCAAACCAGTGTTTATTCTAGGATCTTACTTACCTGCCTTATTGACGTTGACGGGTATGACTGTGTTTGTATGTGTGTGTATGTGTGTGTGTATGAGTGAATGATGGTAGGAATGCATGTTTTATTTTATTTTATTTTATTTTACTCATTACATTTAAATGTTTGTCTGATATTGTGCGCTGCAAGCTCCTGTATCCTGTAAACCAAATTCCTGGTATGTGTAAGCATATCTGGCCAATAAAGCTTCATTCTGATTCTGATTCTGACCCAACTTGGTTTCCTGCTCTAGACCTTTTTTCTCTTTTTGAAGTTTATCTGTTCCCTGACCCTTAGTAGCTCTCTGCTTGAGCTTGTCCACCAGGTGGTTCATCCCTTAGTGCTCCCAACTACAAACATGAGGGCGAAACCCGCTAACAGCAAGACTGAGCCAACAAAATGGACTCTGCAGAGCAAATCAGGGTTCAGCTATTGGTTACCATGAACAAGTCCTACAGCAAATACTTAACCAAATGCAGGGCTTAGCCAGGGCTCTTGCTCAAGCCCAACAAGTGGAAACTTCAGCTCCACCATCTGTAGCTCCCCCTTCCTGAGATTCAATCAGCCCAACTCCCTAGCTATAGAACCAAACCTAGTCTACCGGTCATGGAACGTTACGATGGTGAACCTAGATGTTGCAGGGGGTTCCTCCTACAATGTGAACTAGCTTTTGAACAACATATTCGATATCAAGTTGCACACTCTGGCCACTGAGAGTGGGTTGAATGTAAAAGCCCTAATGGCTGTTTACCAGCAAGGTAACTCAAGGATGAGTTACCCTCTCATGGGAACAGGAACCCGAGAGATGACTTTAGGCATTTGTTGATTCAGGGGGAGCCAACCACTTTATTGAAATCTCCCTAGCCAAGACCCTAAATCTTCCCTTGGTAAACTTGGAGAGACCAGTCCCCATGTGTGCCATTGACTGTGATCCATTGGGGATGGGTTACCCAGCAATCCTGTCCAGTCAACCTTTGAGTAGGACAGCACCGTGTATTAATTTCCTTTCTGCTGATCCAGGTGACAGAGTTGCAACAATATAATCCACACCTGGATTGGCTGACAAGGCCTCTTGCACTGAGATTCCTGCACTGATCCCAACCCTGTCTAGGGCTTCCTCTACTTGTGCTGACCTGACCAAAGTCCCTGCTGAGTACCATGACTTGTCAAAGGTATTCAGTAAAGGCAAGGTGCAGATATTGCCTCTGCACAGGTGATATGACTGTGCAATCAATCTCCTCTCTGGCATGACCCCTCACACTTTGAGGAAGGCTGTTCTCTCTCTCAGGGCCTGAGAAAGTGGCCATGGAGGAGTACATTAAGGAGGCACTAGCTCTGGACTTCATTTGCCCTTTGTTGTCCTCAGCAGGAGCTGTTTTTTTGTAGAAAAGAAGGATGGTGGACTTTGACCCACCTTATATTATAGGGGACTTAAGGTCAACAACCACTGCCTGTTGCCTCTGATGACGTTGGCCACAGCAGGCATCCATCTTTACCAAGTTGCACTTGCACAGTGCCAATAGTCTGAGTTCGCAAGGAAGGTGAGTGAAAGACAGCATTCATCACTCCCTCTGGCCATTACGAGTACCTCATAATGCCATTCAGATTGATGAATGCTCCAGCTGTCTTCCAACATTTCATAAACTAGGTCCTCTGGGAAACACTTGACCACTACATATTTGTCTACCTAGATGTCATCTTCATACACAGTCGTGGTGTAGATGACCACATAGCTCGCGTTCATGGGAAACTCTAGCTTTTACTGCAGAACCACCTCAATGTAAAGCTGGAGAAGTACATCTTCCATGCTCAGTCTACGATATCAGGGATTGTGAGTTGCTAGCAGTTAAGTTGGTTCTGAAAGAGAGGAGACACTGTCGGGAACACACCACATTGTCTGAGCACTTGTTCTGGGTGAAGTATGCCCATTCAAATGTCCCCATTCGAGTGCCAGTTCGGGTACCCTCTACACGTGTCCTGAGCAGGAGTCTGATAGGTTCCTGCAGCCCATGACTATGTTGGGTACTTTCGACGCTCTTGGGAAAGTCACCGTGTGCCAACCAGAGACAGTGCAGAGGTCCCTCTTACCATCCTAGGGAGCAAGTGTGGCTCTCCACTAGGGATCTACCTTTGAAATTGGAAACTCGCCCCATGATACATGGGGCATTTCAAAGCTAATCCGGTGTTTTACCGGCTCTTTCTCTGCTCCCATCCCTCCACCACCACAAATAATCACTAACTTCCCGGCTTATATGATACTGTGATTACTCGATTCCCACCAGGTATGGAGTAGAACCCAATAACTGGTAGACTGGAAGGGTTATGGGCCAGAGGAATGATGTTGGGTAAAGCACATCTTGGACCCAGAGCTCATTAGAGCCCTCAAGAGAGACTAAGAGGCTGATTTGGGAATATTGGGAGCTGTTCCTAGGAAGGGGGTCCTGTAATGTCCAGGCAGCCTGCTAGACCACTTCAGACACATAACAAACTCTGTCTACTGTACCAGAAAGGCACTTATACACAAACACAAACAGAGCTCTGCTGTACCAGCAAGGTACTGATACACAAACACAAACACAAGCAGCTCTACTGTAAAAGCAGTACCCCCCACCCCCTTCCCTGAGCTGAGCGGCTGCCCGTCCTAAGAGGGTCTGATGTGAACAGCACTGCACAGAAGTGTAAAACCACTTATACTGTTTTGTGTCTGTGCTGTTATCCGGCGTTGACCAGAGGAGGATGAGTTCCCCTTTTGAGTCTGGTTCCTCTCGGGGTTTCTTCCTCCTGTTGAGGGAGTTTTTCCTTGCCTCTGTCGCCAAGTCTTGCTCACTGGGGGCGTGGACCCGGATTCTCTGTAAAGCTGCTTTGTGACAACATCTGTTGTAAAAGGCGCTATATAAATAAATTTGACTTGACTTGACTAACATTGGGTTGTAGAGTCCATCACAATTTATACAAAGTACAGGTAATCCTATGTGCTATCTTTTGGAATGGCTGGTGGGGCAAGATGACATTTGACGTAAGGTGTACATCACCAGTGTGCATTACCATATATGCCTGGTCAGTAGAAGCAGATCCAGTATCCAGCCATGGGACTATAATGAAAATCTGGAAAAGCATTTCCCTGCAGCTTCTCAGTACCAACTGTTGAATAGTTTACGTCCTCCGTTTGAATGTTCCACATCACTTTATACAAACTATCCTCAACAATAAAAAAGTAAAGGTGTGAAATCACAACCAAGTGGCTGACCATCAGTTACTCTCACTCTATAGTGTGCTTTAGGGTTTTATTGTGCAACTGCTCCCTGAGTCAAAGTTTATTTATATAACGCTTTTTACAACAGGTGTTGTCACAAAGTAGCTTTACAGAAAAGTCTGAGTCCCCATGAGTGTCGCCAATGGCAACAGTGGCAAAGAAAACTGCCTAACAGCAAGAGGAAGAAACCTTGAGAGGAACCAAGACTCAAAAGGGGAACCCATCCTCTTCTGGTCGACACCGGATAGCAAACAGCGTTAGTATAAAATGTTAAAATACAGAAACAGGGAAAAAACAGGTGGAGCAATGATTAATTAGATAGTTTGAGTTTATGCAGCAGCAGCAGCAACAGTATAATCAGAAGGGTCAGCACCAACAATCCCAGTTTACCATAATACTCTATGACCATGAACCCTCAGATCTGCACCTTTTATCTAACAGGAAAAGCTAATTGTCAAAGGCATGACTAAAGAAGTGGGTTTTTAGCCTAGACTTAAAGACTGAGGCTGTGTCTGAGTCCCAAACACTGACTGGAAGATTATTCCAAAGCTGGGGGGCTTTGTATGAGAAAGCTCTCCCCCCTGATGTAGCTTTATTAATTCTAGGTACTAATAGTGAGCAGCACCTTGTGATCTAAGTAGGCGTGATGGTCCATAATAAAAAAGAAGTTCTCTCAGGTACTGAGGGGCCGTTTAGAGCTTCATATGTCGGTAAAAGAATTTTGTAAAAGCTGGTAACCAGTGTAAGGTTGATAAAACTGGGCTGATATGGTCGAACTTTCTGGTTCTATTAAGGACTCTGGCTGCAGCATTCTGGACTTACTGAAGCTTACTAAGGCTTTTGCTGGAACATCCAGACAGCAGGGCATTACAGTAATCCAGTTTTGAAGTAATAAATGCATGAACTAACTTTTCTGTTTTCTGTTCATCCTGTAGACACAGTGCATTTTTTAATTTAGCAATATTACAGAGATGCAGGAAGGCTATTCTCGTAATATTCATTATATGTGCATCGAAGGACAGATCAGGATCTATCATGACACCAAGGTTTTTTACAGATGTACCTGATGCAGCAGAGAAACTATTAAGTTTAAGCGTAAAATATTGTTTAGTTATCAAAGTGGATATTAAAATAAAAAATTATTGCTTAATTTGAAAATGTTATGAAACTTGATAGATAGTCAGAAAATTCCTGTAAGAACTTAGAATATGGCCCTGGAGGCCTATAGATTGTAATAAATGAAAAGGAATTCTTATATACAAGAACATTTTCAGCCTGGATTCAAAAGTCCAGTGTCGGGGCTGTTTAGTCTTCACCTTTGGCAGGACTGACTGACCAGTTCCTACTGATCTGAGAGTTCTGCTTAGCTCATTTTTTTTCCCATGCTATGTGTAGCGACCTTGGGTTTGTGACAGGTGCTATATAAGTGCAACTTATTATTATTATTATTATTATTATTATTATTATGGTTGCTATACCGCCACCCCGGCCGCTTGGGGGGTGGCTTCATTTTGAGCAAAGTATCCATCAGGTCTAATTCATGTTTCTGTGACTCATGGAGCATCAAAATCATGATCAGTTATAATTTCATTTACAATGACGGCCTTAGATGTAAGAGGTCTTATGTTAAGCAGTCCTAGTTTTAGACCAAAGGTGCTGTCGACTGTCAACTGGTTTGACTGGTCTGACATTAATTAAATTAGTAGAACCAACTTTGAGATTTTTTAATGTTTTGTTTTATTCGGGGAACAAACACAGTCTCAACTGGGTAGAACCTATGTGGTGTCTCAAGGCAGCTAGCAGACAGTCGGTTTAACCTGTTTGTCTGCTGCCTCACCTTGGCCCTGACAAACAGGCTAAACTGACTGTCTGCAAGAGAAATCCATAGTGCCATAGTGCTGAGTGGTGCCCCCCCTGCAATCCCACCTTTGGTTCAGGGAGCAGGCGAAAATATGCAGAAAAGGAGGTACTTCAGGGTCAGGAACTGTTGGATTACACGATGGGAGCAGTGAAGACTAATCTCCTTTATTTGTCTTCAGAGAGCCCAAAAACTATGGTGAACCTGGTCTTCCTGTTCGATGGCTCCTCCAGCATGATGCCCAAAGATTTTGCAGTGAATAAAAGGTTAATCTGGAATATTATGACACAACTTAAAAACTCTTCCATTAAGGTAAAACTGTCTTTTTTGCCTTTTTCTTTCAAAGTGTCTTCATTATATTGGTTCCATTGTTTCTTTTCATCATCAAAGATATGGAAATCAATCTTGTTGTTCTTATTAGAAGTGATACTAGTACATATGTAACTTATTAACTAACACTGACTTATGCTCTAATTACTCTAAAGTAGGTGCAGTGCCATGATGGTAACATTCATTAGCTCTATTTTCATATTTCAAACATATTGGGTCATGCATGTCTTATTAATTTCTAGTCATGTTGAACAGATTTGTTTATATCGTAATTTTTTGATAATGTATAATTTTCAGAGTTGCAGAAGTGTCATGTGGAAATTTGATTTCATTTATAAATTATTGTAATAAATGTTGACGTTTTATTGGTGAAATCTGATGAGTAAGTATAATGAGCATTTCTTACATTACTGTGACAGTAAATGTCACTAATGACACTGTTGGGGTAATTATGCATGATGCATACATTTTATTGATGTAGATTAACATGGCCACTCCTTGTACGTGCTCATGTGCTACTTGCCGCAGCTGACTGCATGGCATTGTCAAAGCATCTAATCATGTCCATTAGAAACTAATGGATAATGATTTCCATGCTTAAGAAAATAGCATCACCTAAACAGACCAGACTTGATTTTCCCTCTATTTTGAACAGTGCTAAAAAGTTTTCCCTTTAACTTTTGAACTTTTCATCTTGTACAGATGTGTTTGTGTTTTAGAGAGTAACATAAAGTAATGGTTAATGAAATTACAACCTTATTTTCAAAAAATGCTGTGCTAAATTTAAATAAAAATAGAATGCAATCATGTGTAACTCATTTAAACATAAAACAATACAAAAACAACATATGAAATGTTGAAGCAGAGAAATTCTATTGCTGTTAGGAAAATATATGCCTATTTTGAATTTGATGCCAACAACACATTTCAAAAAAGTTGGGAAAAGGCATGTTTACCACTATGCTGCATAACCTTTTCTTGTAACACCACTCTGTAAGCTCGGGTAACCCACGTAACCCTGCCAGGCTTAGCCCAAAAAGGCAACATGGGAGGACCATGTGGGCCCATCACCAGCAAGGTCCAGCATAGGGGACCAGTGCAGTGCCATATAGGCAGTGGGAGATGGCAGGGAGGCCCTTGGCGGCAGGGACCCCTGTAGCAAAAACTGGCTCTTGGTATGTGGAATGTAATCTTAGTGGAAGAAAAGAAGCCAGAGCTTGTGCGGGAGATTGAGAGGTACCAACGAGATATAATTGACCTCAGCTTCAGCCACAGTGTTGGCTCTGGAACCAAACTCTTTGACAGGAGTTGGTCCCTCTCCTACTTAGGAGTTGCACAGGGTGAGAGGTGCCAGGTGGGTGTGGGGATACTCACGAGACCCCGGCTGGCTGCTGTGTAGTTGGAGTTTGTCCCGGTGGATGAGAGGGTCGCCTCAATGCGAATTAAAATCACAGGGAGGAAAACCTCATGCACCAAACAACAGTTCAGGGTATTCAGCCTTCTTGGATAGAGTGGGTGAGGTTTTCGGAAGGACGCTGCCTACAGACTCCATAGTGTTGCTGGGAGACTTTAATGCTCATGTTGGCAATGACTGGGAGACCTGGAGAGGAATGATTGGAAAGAATGGCCTGTCTGATCTAAACTTGAATGATGATTTTTATTGGACCTCTGTGCTAGGCATAGCTTGTTCATAAAAACACCAAGTTCGAACACAATGGTGTTTATAAGTGTACATGGTACCAGAGCTCCTTGGGCCAAAGGTCAATGATCGACTTTGATGTTGTTTCATCTGACTTAGGACCGTATGTTTTGGACACTCTGGTGAAAAGAGGTGCTGAGCTGTCAACTGATCACCATCTGGTGGTGAGTTGGAACACATGGCAGGGAAGACTGATGGTCAGACCCGGTAGGCCCAAACAAATCGTGAGGGTGTGCTGGGAACGACTGTCAGAAGCCCCTGTTCGGAATGATTTCAACTCCCACCACCGGGAGAGCTTTTCTCATATTCTAAAGGAGGTAGGGGACATGGAGTCTGAATGGACCCTGTTTAAAACCTCCATCTTGGAATCTGTGTAGCTGTGGCCAAAAGCTTGTTGGTACCTGTCAGAGCGGTAACCTGAGGTGAGGGAGGCCATCAAGCTGAAGAAAGAGGCCTTTAGGGACTGCATGGCCTGGAGGATTCCAGACTCAGCAGATAAAAAGCAAAATCCAGAGCATAGGAAGAGTTTGGCAAGACCATGGAGAAAGACCTTTAGTTGCTTTCAAGGAGGCTCTGGACAACAATCTGGTGGCTCACGAGCGGTTGGGGTGGCTTCACCCAAGCTGTATTTGGCAGGGGTGGAGAAACTCTGACTTTAAATGAGGACATTGTCAGTCGGTGGAAGGAGCACTTTGAGAAACTCCTTAATCCAAGAGACATGCCTTCCTCACAGGAGTCAGGGCCAGAGGCTTCTGGTGTGTCAGGCTCCATTTCCCTGGTGGAGGTCACTGAGGTAGTTGGCAAGCTCCTCAGAGGCAAGGCACTGGGGGTGGATGAGATTCACCCAGAAATGCTTAAGGCTCTGGATGTTGTGGGGCTATTGTGGCTGACACACCTCTGCAATATTGCATGGACCTTGGGAACAGTACCCTGGCAGACCGGAGTGGTGGTCCCTATTTTTAAGAAAGGGGACAGGAGGTTGTGTGCCAACTACCAGGCTATCACACTGCTCAGCCTCCCTGGGAAAGCTTATGCCAGGGTTCTGAAAAGAAGACTCCGACTGATAGTCAAACCTCAGATTGAGGAGGAATGATGTGGACTCCATCCCGGCTGTGGAACAATGGATCAGCTTTTCTCCCTCACACATTGTTGAGGAGGCATGGGAGTTTGCCAACCCAGTCTACATGTATTTCGTGGACTTGGGGAAAACTTACAACCTTGTTCCCCAGGATATCTTGTGGGAGGTCCTCCGGGAGTATGGAGTGCCGGGGCTACTACTCCGGGCCGTTCCATCTCTGTACTCCTGGAGTGAGAGTTGTGTTTGTATACTCGGCAGTAAGTCAATTTCGTTCAGTGTTGGCATTAGACTCCGCCAAGGTTGTGCCTTGTCTCCACTCCTGTTCGTGATATTTATGGACAGGGAGTCAAGATGTAGCTCAGGTCAAGAGGGCATTTTGTGTGGTGGCCGGAGGGTGATGTCTCTGCTATTTGCAGATGATGTTGTCTTTTTGGCTCACATGGATGCCTCCAGTACTCACTGGAGCGGTTTGCTGCTAAATGTGAAGCAGTTGGTATGTGGGTCAGCACCTCCAAGTCTGAGTCCATGGTCCTAGCCCAGAAAAGGATGGCATGCTGACTCCATGGAAGGGGAGAGGACCTGCCCTAGGCAGAGGAGTTTTATGTATCTTGGGCTCCTGTTCACGAGTGATAGGGAAAGAAATTGTGAGATTTGCCACAGGCTGGGACAGGTAGCAGCAGTAATGTGGGCACATTACCAGACTGTAGTGGAGAAGAGGGAGCTGAGCCATAAGGCAGAGCTCTCTGTTTACCAGTGAGCCTACATCCCAATCCTCACATGTGGTTATGAGCTGTGGGTAATGACCAAAAGAATGAGATCATGAATACAAGCGGCAGAAAAAGAGCTTTCTTTGCTGGATGGCGGGCTATGCTCTACTTGATAGGGTGAGGAGCATCAGTCATCCAAGAAGAGATTGACATAGAGCCGCATGCTCCTCCGCATTGAGAAAAGCCAGTTGCGGTTGTTCACGCATCTGATCATGATGCCCCCTGGATGCCTCCCGGTGGGGGTTCACCAGGCACAACCTACAGGGACGAGACCCTGGGGTTGTCCTAGGACCCACTGGAGGGATTATATCTCCAAGTTGGCCTGGGAGCGGCTTGGGGTCCTCTGGAATGAGCTAGAGGATGTTGCGGGGGACAGAGGTACCTTGCAGACAGAGATTTCTTTGGATTCTCTGAATCTTTTAATGATATCTTCTCTGAATCTTTTTAATGATATGTCAGCCTCTCTGAGATGCTCTTGTAATACTCAGTCATGTTACTGATCTGTTGCAAAATAACCTAATTAGTTGATAGAGATGTTCCACCAGGTGTTGTCAACATTTGATGTGTTGTCTTTGTATTAATTTTTGTTAAATATAGGGTTAAAATGAATTGCACATCATTCTGTTTTTATTTACGTTTTGCACAGTGTTCCTTATGAGTGTATACCAGAGTCAATCCCAAATCTGACAGAGAAATTTACCTGCACAGAACTAGTACAATACCTGGGAAATTATCAGGAGGGCTCATCTGTTGTCTAGATTATTTCAAACTGAATGTTTCTGTGACCCTTTTTTGAAGTTGATTTTTTTTTTTTACTTTAGTTTTAGTTTAGTTTTGCAAAATATACTCAGGGGAGTTTAGTTTGTACATGACTCTAGGGAGAATTGGTCAAACACAACATATATTAAATATCCAAAAATATATAAAGGATATATTAAAGAGCTCCCACACACACAGTCACATATTTTCTAAGCCATTTATCCCTCTGGGTCACAGGGGTTACTGGAGCCTATCCCAGCAGTCATTGGGCGGAAAGTAGGAAACAGCCTGGACAGGTCGCCAGTGCATCACAGAGCTAAAAGAGTACAAATTTACAAGAACTCAGAAAGAAAGGAATAATTATATAAAGCACATGAATTCTAAATTGGGAAGACAGCAAGAACATATTCACTGAAATATTTGAAGTAGTTTGAGGTAGCTCTAGAGCAGCAGTAGTTTTTTCAGTGCTCAGCAAAACTGAAAAGCATAATTTCTGAATGTTAATAATGTAAGTAGCTTAATCTTAGGTACAAGCAGCCAAATGGTACTCTGCTGAGTCTGTTTCTTGTCTGTCTGTGTTTAGTTTGCTGCTGTCCAGTTTTCTGCAGTTCCCCGGACTGTTTTCACCTTTAATGATTACATGGACGGCACAGCTAAGAAAAAACTTGATGAGGAGGAGCATATGAAGGATCTCACACACACCCACCAGGCTATTGACTATGTTCTGTGAGTAATCTGCTCTCTAAAAAAATAGCAGAATCAGAAAAGTTAAAGGGGAGGGGTTTGGCAAAGGGACAGGGTTAGGGTTGAGCAGGAAACCAATAAAAAAGGAAAGGAACTAGGAGACAGAACAAAGAGATAAATCAAAAAGAGCAGTCTCAAAGACAGAGCTGACAGACAAACATGTTATGTGTCTGCAGACCGGTATATTCTGTAAATACGAACTGGAACAGTTCAGAGGTGCAGTATGTAAACAATACCTTACTGCAAAACCTGTATCTGTGGATGGTAACAATGCAGTATCAATACTATAAATAAACCATACTAACAGTACAGTATAGTACTGTCAAAATAATGATTTATTACTTATTGAAGCAATAACAATCAATCAATGAATCAATCAATCAATCAATCAATCAATCAACCTTTATTTAAACTCGGAATACATTGAGGGAGACCCTCATTTACAATGTAGCTGAGCAATACAGGAATCAGGGATTGAGAAGTTGTACAGTAAAAAAGTAAATCGAATGTTATAATGAAATAATAGAAATCATAATAGTTAATTATAAGAAAAAACAAGATGTAGTATATATATATATAGTATATGCAGATATATATATATATATATCTGATTACTTGTACATAATATGAATTTAGAGAAAATAAGGGATTATTTCAATGTTCTGTTTTGAAACACATCTTTATTTTCAGCCTGAGGAAACAGATGAACTTGCAGAGTGTGTTTGAAAACTGATTTTGTCTCTGTTTAATTTCACTAAGTGTACTTGGGTCATTTTTAAACTCATGGTGAACGTAACCTCTTAGATACTCGCGGTGCTTCAGAAGGCTGTAATATTTCTGCTACAAAAGCCAAAGTAAGCAAGATTAACAACAGTGCAAAACATCTTCTAAATCAGCCCCTTTATTTTAGCTAAAGATACTTGATTAAATGTACTGAGGTGTGAATGCACCTGTGCTTTTCTGTGTATGTATATACATAAACTAAACTATATGAAGCTGCTTCATAGATGTAAAGTAATATATGCTACAATACATGGGCTTTATTAAAACAGCACTGTTTGTGTTTTCAGAGTAAACCTCTTTAATAGTATTTCTTCTGGGGTGGATCCTGAAGCTACAAAAGTTCTGGTCATCATCACAGATGGAGTTCCTACTGATTTTAACACCAAAGATGTTATAAAGAGGTGTGAAGATCAACAGATCACTCGCTTTGTTATTGGGGTGAGTCCATTAAAGCAACATGGTAGCCAATGACACAATGCCCACTAACTCAGTGACAATGTAAAACTGTTCATCTGTCCATCTTTATATCTGTACATCATTCCCTCCTACAGCATAATTAAGGTGATTTGTTTTTGACAGGTGGGAAATGTAGACATAAACAAGCTCAGGAGATTTGCCTCAGAGCCCAAAGATAAAAACACATTCCAGATTGAAGACTACAGTGGACTGGAAGGACTTTCTCATAGTTTGCAAACTAAGATCGACAACATTGAAGGTATCAGGAGATCCATAAATACGGAATATTCCAGCAAGGATCAGAATTTAGAATTTTTTGCTAGTCTCAGACTGAAGTCTTAGCATTTGCCAGAACTGTCTGATATACATATCAGTCTTGCTGTGAATAGTAGGACTTCAGTCAAATACAGTAACATTGTTTTGTGAAAACAGCTGATGCCAGGAACTACTGGATTAGAAGATGGGAACAATGAAGCCTAATAATCTCCTTCGTTTTCTGTAAAGCTGCTTTGTGACAACGTATGTTGTAAAAAGTGCTATTTGAAAAAAAAGAAATTGACTTGATTTGACTTGATACTGTACAAACCTCTCCTTCAGGAAGCCCAGTATTATTTGTAGGTGCCTCAATGTACTGCACTGCACCCCCAATCACCCCTCTGGTTTAGGAGCATGGGAAAATGTGCAGGAAAGGGGGTACTCCAGGATGAGGGCCAGATACTACTGGATTAGATGATGGGGTGAAGACTAATCTCCTTCGTTTATCCGCAGAGAGCCCAAAAACTATGGTGAACCTGGTCTTTCTGTTCGATGGCTCCTCCAGCATGAAAACTCAGGATTTTTACATGAATAAAATGCTAATCTGGAATATTATGACACGACTCAAAAAATTATCGATTAAGGTAAACACTCTCTTTAACTATTTTCACCTTTCTCTCTCAGACTGTCTTGATTATATTGGTTCCATTTCTTTTCGTTATTAAAGTTATGGCAATCAATCTTCTTCTTCTTGTTAAAAGTGCAACTAGTAAATATGTAACTTACATTAAACACTGATTTATGCTCCAAAGACTCTAAGCTAGAGATGGGGTTATTATAGTAAATGACAATGTTTTAAGGGCAAAATCTGAAGAGTGAGTATAGTGAGTAATTATTACATTACTGTGATAGTAAATGTTACTGATGACTACTGTTGGGGTAATTATGTGTGATGCATACATTTCATCTACATAGATTATCACTGCCAGTCCTTGTACATGCTACATGGAATGGCTGACTGTATGTCATTGATTGTATATGTGAGCAGTGCAGCTTTCTGTTGAAGTATCTAATCATGTCAATTGGAAACAGATGAATAATGATCCCCATACTTTACTCTTTAGCCCAGAGGACGCAGAGTCCATTATTTCCAAAAAGAATTTCAAATTTTGTCCAACCACAGGACACTTTTTCACTTCCCCTAATTCCATCTAAAGTGAGCTCGGGCCCAGAGAAGGCTGTGGCGTCTCTGGATCATCTTTATATATTGTTTCTTTTTTGCATGGTAAAGTTTTAACTTGCAATTTTAGATGCAGTGATGAACTGTTTTCACTGGCAGTGTTCTTGAGCCCATTCTGTAGTGAATTCCACTACAGAAACAACTGTTCTTAATGCAGTGCTGTCTGAAAGCCTGAAGACTACGCTCAGCCAGTACTGGTTTTCCACCTTGTCTCTTGCACATAGAGATTCCTCCAGATTCTCTGAATCCTTTAATCTCACACACACACACACACACACACACACACATCTTCTAAGCTGCTTATCCTTCTGGGTCACGGGGGGAGCTGGAGCCTCTCCCAGCAGTCATTGGGTGGAAGGCAGTGTTCACCCTTGACAGGTCAAGAAGTTGATACATTACCAGGAAATTCAAAGTTGTCTAAATTATGGCAAGCTAATTGTTTCTGTGACCCTTCTTTACACGTATTTTTTTTGTTTGTTTGTTTAGTTTCAGGTTAGTTTAGCTAAATAAACTCACAGAAGGTTATTTTTACTAAGATGTTTGAGGCAGTTTGAGGTAGTTGTAGACCAATAGTTATACATTTTTAGTGCTCAGTAACACTATCGGCATAATTTTTGAGTGTTAGAACAATAAAGTGAGTAGTTTATTGTTAGGTACAAGCAGCCGAATGGTACTTTAATGAGTCTGTTTCTTGTCTGTCTGTGTTTAGTTTGCTGCTGTCCAGTTTTCTGGAGTTCCCCGGACTGTTTTCACCTTTAATGATTACATGGACGGCACAGCTAAGAAAAAACTTGATGAGGAGGAGCATATGAAGGATCTCACACACACCCACCAGGCTATTGACTATGTTCTGTGAGTAATCTGCTCTCTAAAAAAATAGCAGAATCAGAAAAGTTAAAGGGGAGGGGTTTGGCAAAGGGACAGGGTTAGGGTTGAGCAGGAAACCAATAAAAAAGGAAAGGAACTAGGAGACAGAACAAAGAGATAAATCAAAAAGAGCAGTCTCAAAGACAGAGCTGACAGACAAACATGTTATGTGTCTGCAGACCGGTATATTCTGTAAATACGAACTGGAACAGTTCAGAGGTGCAGTATGTAAACAATACCTTACTGCAAAACCTGTATCTGTGGATGGTAACAATGCAGTATCAATACTATAAATAAACCATACTAACAGTACAGTATAGTACTGTCAAAATAATGATTTATTACTTATTGAAGCAATAACAATCAATCAATGAATCAATCAATCAATCAATCAATCAATCAACCTTTATTTAAACTCGGAATACATTGAGGGAGACCCTCATTTACAATGTAGCTGAGCAATACAGGAATCAGGGATTGAGAAGTTTTACAGTAAAAAAGTAAATCGAATGTTATAATGAAATAATAGAAATCATAATAGTTAATAATAAGAAAAAACAAGATGTAGTACAGTAGATTGACAATAATAAATAGAACAGAAATAAAAAAGAATGCAAGGATTGATAAAAAGTAATGAAATAAAAAGTAAAATATATATATATATATATATATATATATATATATATATATATATATATATCTGATTACTTGTACATAATATGAATTTAGAGAAAATAAGGGATTATTTCAATGTTCTGTTTTGAAACACATCTTTATTTTCAGCCTGAGGAAACAGATGAACTTGCAGAGTGTGTTTGAAAACTGATTTTGTCTCTGTTTAATTTCACTAAGTGTACTTGGGTCGTTTTTAAACTCATGGTGAACGTAACCTCTTAGATACTCGCGGTGCTTCAGAAGGCTGTAATATTTCTGCTACAGAAGCCAAAGTAAGCAGGATTAACAACAGTGCAAAACATCTTCTAAATCAGCCCCTTTATTTTAGCTAAAGATACTTGATTAAATGTACTGAGGTGTGAATGCACCTGTGCTTTTCTGTGTATGTATATACATAAACTAAACTATATGAAGCTGCTTCATAGATGTAAAGTAATATATGCTACAATACATGGGCTTTATTAAAACAGCACTGTTTGTGTTTTCAGAGTAAACCTCTTTAATAGTATTTCTTCTGGGGCGGATCCTGAAGCTACAAAAGTTCTGGTCATCATCACAGATGGAGTTCCTACTGATTTTAACACCAAAGATGTTATAAAGAGGTGTGAAGATCAACAGATCACTCGCTTTGTTATTGGGGTGAGTCCATTAAAGCAACATGGTAGCCAATGACACAATGCCCACTAACTCAGTGACAATGTAAAACTGTTCATCTGTCCATCTTTATATCTGTACATCATTCCCTCCTACAGCATAATTAAGGTGATTTGTTTTTGACAGGTGGGAAATATAGACATAAACAAGCTCAGGAGATTTGCCTCAGAGCCCAAAGATAAAAACACATTCCAGATTGAAGACTACAGTGGACTGGAAGGACTTTCTCATAGTTTGCAAACTAAGATCTACAACATTGAAGGTATCAGGAGATCCATAAATACGGAATATTCCAGCAAGGATCAGAATTTAGAATTTTTTGCTAGTCTCAGACTGAAGTCTTAGCATTTGCCAGAACTGTCTGATATACATATCAGTCTTGCTGTGAATAGTAGGACTTCAGTCAAATACTCTTCAGGTTTTTTGTAATAACAACTGATGTCAGGCTTCTTAATGAAACATGATTTTCTACATTCAGGAGCTCAGGCTGCCTCACCTCATAGCTCATGTAAGTTTTTACTGCATTTCTTCTATTTACATTTATTCTGATGACATATGGTTATTTTACAAGTACAACATGATCTTTTGCCAAGGTAAATGGTTTTAAACAAAGAGCTCAGATGCATAAAACTTCAGTATTAATAATTAACAATAGTATTGTGTTTTCAGAGTAAGTATAATAATAGTAATAGCAACTGTACATTAACAGTAAAGTTTGAAATAAACGTCAGTGGAAGGTTGGTGCCAGTGACACATGGTCATGATACACAAGGAATTTGTTCCAAAATGTATTTATCAATTTAATTTAAATTTTTTAAACCTTGTCTCTCTGTTCTAATTTTGGCTACATTGCAAATTTAAGTTTAAAAAGTTTAAATGATTGGTTTTCATAAGAAACTATTTTTTGGTTAATATACTAAATAAAAAACATGAACACAAAAAAGGTTTTCTCGTGACAATGTAACAGTGTAGCGTGACAGCGGGTTTACCATGAGTGGGAAACAAACTGGCGGTTCCCTTGTTCAGATACCAGAATGCTAAGTGGTAAACCACTGGCCAAACACAAGAGATGGTCTCATGAGCATGGAAAAAGAATAACCGAGTTTGGGGGTTTAAGGCCAAACAAAAGAAAAGCCAGAGCAGCATCTTCAAACTGAAAGGAGTTTCAAAAAGCTAAAGGGGAATGCGGTTACCAAAAGGGCACTCAAGGTTTTTTTTTAATACTTACGCTGAGAGATACTCAAGAGGCCAGAACTCGAGAAAGGAACTAATACCAAAATTACCGGGCTTATTCTGAGACATGCACATAGCAGCATGAACTCAAGACTCAGCAGAAAGCAGCATGTGAGCATCTTAAATAGGGTGCCTATTTAAGCACAGCTGTTACCACTCAGCCCTAATTATCCATTAGTGGTGCCTTGTCTCCCCCTAGTGGCTGGAAGTGGCCTAGTATGAGGCCCGGGACATTACAGTAACTCAACATGCAGCATCCTTTTGCTAGAAAAACTAGGTTAGCTTACTTAGCTATAGCCATGTCACTAGGCCAGTGAATGAGTTATAGTCTTCAATATATTATAATAATGATTACATTAATCTAATCAGCTTTATTGATTAACAGACTTTGATGATACTCGGTTCTTTGGGATGTCCATGGCAGTGAGGTCCACCCCTTTATCCGGCCTGACTGTAAGTGTGGAACTAAAAGATTTAGAACTTAACCTGCTTATAATTTAGAAACAGATTCATCTTTGGGTTTTATCTCCCATCTGGATTCACTGCAGAACTGAATCCTGCTTCCTGTTTGCCGATAGACTTGCTGATAAACAGGTTTTTTAAATCTTTAAAGTAAGTGTTGAGTAAAAACCAGAAATATTTCACACATTGTTTAAGGAAAGCCTGACTGACTATATCAGGGCTCTAATTTTATTATGGGCATTGTTTGAATTGTTTGCTAGATAATTTCCACACTCATATGAGCTGCTGTAGTGGTTTTGGTTCAGTATCACAGCCAGGACTGCTGTTTTGGAAGGGTATGAAAATACATGGCTGGGCTGATCAGGCAGGTGGGAAGGTACTGCTTTGATCTCTTACTTTGAACACAGATGGAATGATGTAGAACTTTAATGTGCATATAATTTGTCTGTATTATTCTGGCACTTATTCTTTAAATTTAATAAAAATGTAATGTAAATTCATCCCCAAAACTGCATCCAGGTCTTCATTAAGGTGGTGCATTCTTGTAAATGTGCTTTAGGAAACAGTATGACTTACTGAGAGCTATGAACATGAACAAGCAACTGCTTAGCAACCATGATGGACACTACAGCAACTACCTAGCAACTGCTTAAACACTGTAGGGTCATAATTGTGTAATTGCATATAGCTTCTGCTGTTAAATAGGTCATTAATGTCTTTTTACCCGTTTGACCCCTGTGGTTGTGATTCAGAGCTGCAGTCCCAGTTTCGCTCCAGACTGTGAAGGAAACTTGTTCCTGATCAACACCTGCTACCACTTCAGCAGTCAACTGGAACTCATTGCTAAGGACAAGGTTACTTTCCAAGGTACCAGCAGTTCTCTCCTCTCTCTCTCTCTCTCTCTCTCTCTGAGTGGTGCCTGAAATCATGACAATGAGTTGTAGCAAATAAGTTTTTTTTTACCCCGATGGTGCCTTCTAATGTTTTTAAGTGGGTTAATCACAATTCATTTTTAACTCTCAGAATTAAACAGGCTGACTCTTCACTACTGCAAAACTCAGTCCTGGGTTTTACAGTCATGAATATTTAACTGAACTGTAGGTGTAACTGATTGACCATCTACTGTAACACCAAACTATATAATTCTGGACCAACGTATGTACTGAAGACTGTTCTATTACTTCTATTATTATTATTTTTTGTATGTAGTTTAATTAGAAAGGCTGCTTGAAATAAAACATTTAATTTCTTAATCAAACGTTTACATTTCTTAATGTTTATGCTGCAATGGCAAGAAACACAGTGTATCAAAGGAAAAACATCACAAGCCCCAGAGTATACATGATACATTGCAAGCTATCTTGGATACATATTTAACTTTTGTGGCTGAAGATGGACATAGGAGGTACATAGGTTTCTTCTGTTTTTCTTTTCTTTTTTTATTTGTTCCCATCTCTCATTACATAGACCATTGCTTTTCACTCACTTATTCGCCCGACTCATCTCTCTGTTCTTCTGCTGATGCTTGATTCTGCATGGCCTGTGGACCACCTCAAACTTAAAAGGCCATAGTGCCAGACACCAACAGGTCCTCCTCAGTGGTGCTGTACTTAGTTTCCCACATAGAGAGCTTTCAACTAATGTACAGCACCAAATATTCATCTTCCTCAACCAGCTGGCTGTCAGCAGCCTGCCTTATTTATAAACCTCTGATAATAGCCAACCAGCCCCAGGAACTGTCTTACTTCCTTATAGGTCTTGGGTCAAAAAGAGGTTTGGTTTGAGGAAGCACTTGTCTGTTATACATGTGAAAGCCTAGATACTGTACCTCCACCTGTCCAAGTGCACACTTCTTTGAGTTAATCTTGGGTTCTGCCAGCCTTAAATGGGTATGTCCTGAAATGTTACAGCACATGCCATTACTAATCATAATTATACATGATCATGTCATCAAAATCTATCAATGAACTGTTAAAAAGGAGCCGGAGCATCGAATAAACCAAATGGAAGCATGACAAATTTGTACAAACCAAACCGTGTGGTGTATATTTTTTCTCATATATCACTATGAATGCTCAGCCTGTTTTAGTCTGTCTAGGTGCCAGCCAGGGGACTTTTATGAACCACATAGAAAAGCATTTCCCTGCAGTTTCTCTGTACCAAATGTTATTTAATTTGAATCCTTTAGTTTAGTTTGTTCCCACATCATTCATACAAGCTGTTCTTGATAAAAGAAAAATGCAGGTGTGACAATGCAACCCCTGACTTGAGCACCTGACCATCAGTCATTCTCACTTGGTCAATGGTGTGTTTCAGGGTTTTATTTTGTAACTAGTTTCTGCGAGGAATCTATACTAAGGCTGGTGGGAGGTGCCCCAGTGTACCTCGTTATAAATTCCCAATCACTTTCTGGTTCCTGGAGCAGGGGCAGGGGGGAAATGTGCAGGACAGGGGATACGTCAGGATGAGGGACAGATAGAAGATGTGTGAGGTAACAACTAATCACCTTTATTTGTCTGCAGAGTGCTCAAAAACTATGGTGAACCTGGTCTTCCTGATCGATGGCTCCTCCAGCATGAAAACCTCTGCTTTTAACAAGAACAAAAAGTTCATCTGGAATATTATGACACGACTTAAACACTCATCAATTCAGGTAAACACTCTCATTAACTATTTTCACCTTTGTCTTTTAAATTTCTCAAAAATTATTTTGAACTAATATGTTTCTTTTCATTCTTAAAATTATGGTAACCAATCTTGTTGTTCCTGTTAGAAGTACCAGTTACATATTTAACATATAAACTAACATTGACTTACACTCTAAGTACTCTAAACTAGAGTTGTGGTGCCATGATGGTAACATTCTACCAATTAGCTTAAGTTCATTATCAATTATTGCTTTTTTAAAGAAGTTGTCTCATGTATGTCTTAATAATTTGAAATCATGTTGGATGTACAGATTTGTTTGTATTGTAGTTTATCGACAATGTTTCTGTAACGTGTGACCAGAGAGCAGACGCTCGTGGATGTAAAAAAGTGATGAAGCTTTACTAGAGTTATTGTCGTTGGTACACAGGCACAGCAAAATACACTGAAGGTGATCAAACACAACAGGGCTAGGCAGATCAAAGTCCAGAGTACAGGCAAAAGTCCAAAACCAGATATCAATCCACCCAGGCAACAGTACAAAAGGGCAAATCCGAAAATCCAAGAAACAAATCCAGAAACACAAGGTCATAACAGGGGAGATCAAAAAACCAGAATGAACGCTCAGTAGTTTTTAAGAAAACAATACCTCGCAAAGGTCCTATGCTAAGCCTGGGCTAATATACTAAACTAAACAGATCACATGACATAAACACACAGGTGAGAGTGATCAGTATTCCGGAGAGCTAGAGTGGCGATTGGTTGCTGCTGCTCTTCCTGGTGTCATGTGATGAAGCGGAGGATTCTGGGAATCGTAGTTTGATGTCAGTGTGTGAGTGAATGTATAAGTCTGTCTGCCCTGTGATGGACAAGCAACCTGTCATAGGTGTGTCCTGCCTTCCACCCAATGACCACTGGGATAGGCTCCAGCTCCTCCGTGACCCAAGAGGGGCAGATTAGAAAATGTGTTTGTGTGTGAATTGTCCTAAAATGCCTATACTGAGAATAAAATTAAATATTAAGATAATAGTCTGAAACAATGTAATGCCCTTTCACACATGCATTTTTGCCTGAAAATTCATGTCAGTTAAACAAGAAGGAGCTCTGTATGAACAAATGCCAAAGTCAAAATCTCAATAAATACGATGAGGCAATTTACCATCTGGAGTATAAGTACAAGTACAGTTCCTGGGAAATTATCCAGAGGACTCATATGTGAACAGAAGCTGATACATTACCAGGAAATTCAAAGACGTTTAGATTGCATGCAGCAAAGCTAAATGTTTCTAATATAATTTCTTTGCAGTTGATTTTTCTAAGTTTAGTTTAGCCAGATAAAGAAAAAGAGGGAGTAATGACATGAGGCATTTGGATTCTAGGTTGGCAGGAGTACAAGTACATGTTCCCTTAAACATGTAACGTATTTGCCAATGTAGAGCAGCAGGAAGCAGACAATTTGTACTTTAATGAGTTTGTGTCTTGTTTGTCTATGTTTAGTTTGCTGCTGTCCAGTTTTCTGGAGTTCCCCGGATCGTTTTTGACTTTAATGATTACATGGATGGCACAGCTAAGAAAAAGCTTGATGAAGAGGAGCATATGAAGGATCTCACAAACACCCACCAGGCTATTGACTATGTTCTGTAAGTTATCTGCTCTCTAAAAATTGCTGTAAATCTTTAGGGGAAATCCTGCACTAATCTCGTAACATTGCACAAAGAGTCAGACACATGATCAGAAAACATGCTAGGGTCAAAATCAAATGATAACAAAACCTTAGAGACATCCAGAGAATGATGAAGGAATAAACACGGAACACAGGCAAAAACATAGTCAAAGATACAGACAAAAGCGTCAAGATACACAATAAGCAAGGACAGGAAAAAAGCTTGCTACACTCTGTAAACAGTGTGAGTGAGCAGACAGTCTATATAGGGGTCTGTGAATGATGAACAGATGTGGCTGATCAGTTTTCTGGTGAGGCTGATCTCTGAAGCAGTTTGTGATTGGTGAAAGATGTTGCATAATCTCCAGTTGGATTCTAGAAGTTGGAGTCCACAAGAGTAATCATCTGTACTACAGAACCGAAGGGTGGCATGACAAATGTACTGTTTTCCTTAAATATGACTGCCTTATTAAACAAAACTGATTGAACCCATCAGCTAAGCAGCAAAGTGTTAAATGAGTTGTATTGAGAGTGTCGGTCCCACTTTATATTAAGTGTCTCTAATAACTGTGTAGTAACACATGAATAACATATCCAACAGCAATGTAACTACTGATGATTTAGTCAGTGTTACACAAGCGCATCTTTTTGGTACACTACAGATCAGAAGTCTTTTCCAACAGTTAAAGGAAGTATGTTTTACATAACATTTCATTTATGTTTTACATAATTACTGTGGAATTACTGTGCTTTAACAAGGGGATCTAATCACATCACATTGATTATATCATTCTGTAATTACACTGTACATTTATAACAACTACACAAGAACTTTCCTGTAGTGCAGTGTTAAAGTTACACTTTAAAATAAGCAGAGGGTTCCTGTGTAGTTGTTATGTAGGTACTGTGTAATAATGGAGTGGTAATATAGACACCACTTTGGTGGTAATGCAGCACATTTAATTAATATTATAGAAGTTACATTTTAAGAAAGGAGTCATCTGCTGTACTGTCACATTACGGAATGGTTTAAAGCACTAGCAACATAAATGCCAACTAAATGTTAGGAAAGCTGGTAGATACAGTGTAAGTAATGTCTTAATGCGAATTATTACAGACTTCCTTTTACTGCTGGAAAAAACTGCTGTTCCAGTCTGATTACAATGCAATTACATTTGTTATTACCCTTGTGTAATTACATAAGAGTAGGCTGTTACAACTATTAAGATACACTTGTGTAATTACATGAGGTGTACTTCTGTAATACATCTGTAACAGTGACTAAATCCTTAGTAGTTATATTGTTGTTCACATGTAACTACACAGTTATTAGAGACAATATAAAGTGGGACCAGAGCATTAGATGACAGAAAATGCTAAACACTTGTGAAGAATTATTAAAGTTTGTGTGAATCTGTGCTTTTCTATGCATTATATATGTAAACTAAAATATATGAAGCTGGTTCATGTATGAGGTGTGTTTATGCTAAATGGGTTTTATTAAAACAGCATGGTTTGTGTTTCAGAGTAAACCTCTTTAATAGTGTTTCTTCTGGGGCAGAACCTGAGGCTACAAAAGCCCTGGTCATCATTACAGATGGAACTCCTACTGATTTTAACACTAAAGATGTTATAAAGAGGTGTGATGATCAACAGATCACTCGCTTTGTTATTGGGGTGAGTTGATTAAGGCAGGCGATTAAGGGAGCCAATCACACAAAGATTACTAACACACTGAGAGTGTAAAACTGTTCATCTGTCCATCCTTCTGTCTTTATAGTTTTCCACCTATACAACATAGTTGTGTCTTGTTTTTGACAGGTGGGAAATGTAGACATAAGAAAACTCAGGAGATTTGCCTCAGAGCCCAAAGATAAAAACACATTCCAGATTGAAGACTACAGTGGACTGGAAGGACTTTCTCATAGTTTGCAAACTAAGATCTACAACATTGAAGGTATCAGGAGATCCATAAATACAGAATATTCCAGCAAGGATCAGAATTTAGAATTTTTTGTCTCAGACTGAAGTCTTAACATTTGCCAGTGCTTTGAAGGCTTGTTACGAATTCTAGGACTTCAGTCAAATACTGTAAAACAATTTTTTGAAAAAAGCTGATGTCAGGTTTCATAATTAAATGTTTTTCTAAATTCAGGAGCTCAGTCTGCCTTCAGGAAAAAGTGGACTAAGGAATTATCTCACAGTGGATTCAGCACTGCCTATGATAAAGTATGGCCACATTCCAAATGTGCCTTGAACTGAACTATCTTTAAAATCCACAGAAATTAAACCAAACTAACACCTAAGATACACACATATAGTTTAGAATCTGATGGTACTATAATTAATGGTGGTTTAAATTGGAATGGAAATATAATTTGATAGTAAAAACAATGATCTTTTAACTTGATGGTACTATAAATTTATTGCACTATAGATTGATGGTAACAATGAAATGATGCTTTAATTTTATGGTACAATAATTTGAAGATAAATTAAGGATTATATATTTTTACACTATCATTTGACAGTACTTTAATTGTAGTCTAGTTTGATAGTACTATAATTTGATGGTTGAGTCCTGCTTCTGTTATTATGTGTTCTGAATATGAGTTGAACAGGTATGGGGATAGTGGGCAGCCTTGTCTTACTCCTTTGCTAATGTGGAACCTGTGTGTTTTTCTATTTTCTTTCCTGACTGTAGCTTGCTGATCACTGTAGAGGTTCCTCATTAGAACAATAAGATACTCTGGCATTCCCATTTTCCTGGGAACGTTACATAATTTTACATAGTCAACACATTCAAAGATTTTGCTATAATAGCAGTTGTTATATAAGAGACTTATACATAAGTCTCTAATCTGCATTGAATGACCTAGAGTATAAGTTTAATTAATTACATCTCATCATTTAAGAGCCTAGATAACCATTGTATTTTTTCTGATGTAGTGTCATGCAAAGTAAATCTACTTTCCACTTTCCACTCTCTTGCTTAGCTGGTTGGTTGCCCCCTCCTCTCAATTAAATGCTGGTGTAGGGTTAATCTGCTTGACTTAGATGGTATCAGGATGCGGTAGTGTTTGTTATGCAGATCCATTGGAGTAGCCTAGCAAACTAGTTATTGCAATATGGTTTGGGTGGCCCAATTACATTTTTAACCCTACCCCATTGTTTTTTAAAGTGTCTCCTTGCCCCTTGGAACTGAGCTACAGGGAAATGGGACCCTCAAATAAAAAGAGCATAACTTCATTAACAGGCTACTAAGCTCCTCACTGCTGGGCTTAAGTTACATTTAGGGAATCATATGCCTTCAAAGGGGGGGGGGGATTATTTATAATCACCCTCTCCTAATTCTTGAGTGTTATGAAGCTGAAGTCAGATATTCACCAGCTTCTTGTTCAAATTTTCCTGTTCAAGAAATTTAGCTGGCTAGCTACTGAGACATCAGCATATTCCTAGTGATTTTTCATGCTTGTTATGAAGAAAAGGACCATAATGCACTGAAGCAGCATTAACTAAGATAACACAACAGTTATTGTAATTTTTTAACAGAGAAAATACTCATGTGGGTTTGTTTGGTCACTTGCAAGACATCTTGACATTTGAAAAATGTTCCTCTGTGTGGAGGAACATGTAGCCCTAACACTTCACCCTACCCCTCTATCTCAACAAGAATCAGGATACCCTACCCCCCAGGTGTGATCATGCAAAATGGATTGGTAAGGCTTAGTGGTTGGGGTGAGGGGTGAAATGGTCCAGCTGAAAGTAGTTAATGATTTCCCTCTTACTGCTTATTTAGTTTCTCTTAACATTTTTCTTGTTTTTGATCTTACACTGCTCTCAATACTGTAAATCACAACATACTTTAGTCCCGCCTTTCCTCTGTCAGCATTATGGGCTCAGCCCTCCAGTGGTTTAGATCTCACTGATAGACAACACTGTATTACTAAAGATAAACACAAATCCTATACTGCCCCAAATACTCAAGGGGTGCCTAAGGGTTCTGTTCTTGTTCCCATCCTTTTTTGATTTATATGCTTCCAGTTGTTCAAATCATCCACCAGATTTATGTTAGCACTAGATCCACCACCAGTTTGCCACCTGGTCCTCTGATTGAATGTATGTTTGTGTTGAAGAACTGGTTGAACGTCAATTTTCTGAAAATCAGTGATTGATGGAGTTATTGTTAAGCCTGCTTAGTTAGTCCAAAAAAACTGGTGTATTATTTGACCATCTGCTTACTTTCACACTTCAACAAACCTGCATGTTTTTTTCTTCACAGTATTGCACGTCTTCGGCCCTTGCTGAAGTTAAAAGATGCTGAGACACTGTACCATTATTTTTATAAACTCTCAGCTTGATTATTGTAACTCATTTCCTAAGGTTCTCCCTGCAAACACCAAACAGGCAGAGCACATCATTCCTGTCTTATACCGGCTACACTGTCCTCCCCTTACTTCACATATTAAAGACAAGATATTTTGTTTAATTTTAAAGCTCTACATGGTCTGGCACCTCCATACTTACCTCAGCTCCTTCATCTGCACATCCCTTCACATGAACTCAGGTCTTCTGGCTCTGGGCTGTTGGTTCTCCCAGCTTAGACTAGTCTCTTAGGGTGGCAGGTTCTTTAGAGCTAAAGCCCCTGAGCTCTGGTACTCGCCCCATCACATTTGTGACTGCTCATCCATTTCCTCTTTTAAAACTGAACTGAAAACTGATCTCTTCACTCGGTACTGCTCTTCTACTCTAACCTCATAGCCTTGTTGTATGTTCTCTCACTTCTGTCCTTTTTATTTTATTCCTTTGTTTTGTATTATCTTTCCCTTTTATTGTCTTTGTTTTGCCATTTCCTTATGATCTTCTAATTACAATTTTCTTCTGCTACTTTGTTATTATTGTGCATGTGTGTTGTGTTGTTTGCTTTTCTTTACATTGCCCCTCTTGTTTTGTTTTCTTTATATTACTCTTGTGTTTCATAATTTGACTGTTTTGCTGATCTGGATTGTGTTTGGATGTTCTGTAAAACTGTAAATGTATTCTTAATCTTATTCTTCTTATTATTATCTGATTTATTTTGTGGATAGCTGGCCTATCTTCATACAGAATGTGTCTTCTATGATAATTGATTCAAAAAGTCACTTGTATGAAGATGAATCTGTTTTACATTGTTAACTGCTGTGTATATAGATCTGAACATTTGTTCAGTAAAATAATGAGTTCTCGCTCTTTCTACTTCAATTCACTTTTAATTTCTTTCTTTTCTGAAAATAAATTAAGAAACCATATAAGTTTTTTAACCATATAAGTCTCACCACTCTGATATATTATAGAAATGTAAACACTACTCTTTTGTTTGGACTTTTTTGTTCTACTTCTTTACTACTACCTACTAACACTAATGCTAAAATATTGTTACCACCACAATGACTAGTATTATTCCATGCTAAAGACATGTTAGTACTGACATAAAATGCAGTCATACATAGCAACATGATGTACAAACATATACTGCTTTTGCATATAATGCCTGTTTTGCTCTGGACTGCAGGATGTTCTGGTTTTGGGCGCAGCTGAATCAAATGAATGGAGTGGAATGCTTTATGAAGATATGAGATCTGGAGATGGAACCAGAGAAATCAAAGACCCAAAGCTGAAGAATGAGTCTTACATGGGTATTTATTAGACTGTATATTTACATTTGACTGGCTGTTTAGTTGTGTTTGCTTGGGTTATTTTGTGTTTATGTTATTGTTTTTTTGTTGTTGTGACAAGGTTTAGAGATGTTAATAGATGTGTGGTTAATATTAGTGTAATATTTGTTAATATTTCTGATGTATTTAGGTTACTCTGTAGCAGTTGGAGAAAAAGATGGAATCTCTCTTTTGTTCTCTGGAACTCCAAGGTTCAATCACAGTGGTCAGGTGACTCTCTTCAATAAACATGAGAAGACATGGGAAGTCACCACCCATGTCAGTGGAGAACAGGCCAGTACCAACCTCTAAAAGCACGTTTTTATTATTTATTCTAGAGTCAGAAGCGCTGATCAATAACCTTAGTCTTGGGCATCAAGAACTGTTATCACTAGCTGCAAATCATCAGTGCAAATATAAAATGGTATATTTTAGTAAGACAGACTATAATGAGAGCATATGTAGAGAGAATAAAACTGGGCCTAAAATGGATCCCTGTGGTACCCCACATGTGATAGATGCCATGTAGGAACAACCTTTTGAACAGGAGAGAAAGTGCTTTATTGCAGCATAATTACTGGGTCCTAAATCACTTTTGAAGATACTTCAAAAGATTTTTATAATGAAAAAAATGACAAAAATGTAAAAGCAACTTCTAAGATTGAACTTTGCAGGTGTGGCTGCAGATTATTTTTGAGAAACTGAAAATGAGTCTCCTGAAAAGAATGAGTGGACACACTTATTTTTTATCAGGATACAGCTGGATTTCACAAGGCGAAGGCTGCCACAGTTCAGAACCGGTCAAATGCTATTGCTTTTGTCAAGGCCTTGTAGGGCCAGAGTACAGCAACGCCACCCCACCCACACACACACATACACAATATTTATTTTAGTGTTGCATTCGAAGTGTGTTTGTGTGTTACCAAAGAGCAATAAATATTCATTAACAAAAAAGGAGTGGAGACATTAAACACTCAACCATCTGATATTAGATTTAGTTGCTGAGGCTTCTGTGTTCTTTTCTATTAAATATGTTTTCAGCCTTTTTGATTAGCTTGTAATTAATGGCTGTTTTGACTAGAACTTGATCAATAGTAGATTAATAGAGTGAGAAGACTGATGAGAAGATTCAATAATTGAAGAGGGCAGGGTATTACAACATTGAGCACTATGGCCCAATGGTTTGACAGATAACACAGATGTTTATAATTCATGACTGTATGGTATTGTGTGTTCGGCACACAATAAACTGAGCAACATTACAAGAATCTACAAGAATTCATAATGCTTTGAAAGTAGTTTTAGATGGACAAATAATCATGTATATTAAAATAAAATCAACATCAACGACTAAATGGTTACCTGACCCAAAATGAGACAAAAAAAATTCTTACTGAATTTAGGAAGCTTATGAACAAGTGCACAAATGAGTACACAAGAGCTATTAACTCCCCAGCTGAATTCAGACCATAAACAATTCCTCTGCAGGTCGGCTCATACTTTGGTGCATCTCTCTGTTTGTTGGACATGGACTCGGATGGTGACACCGACTTTGTTGTGGTTGGAGCTCCTCTGTACTACCAGGCTCAGCCACAGAGAGAAGGCAGGATGTACGTCTACAAGCTCACAAATGAGGTACAGCACAGTCTTCCTCTACAGCTACACTCCAGTTAGCCAGTCAGATGCAGTTAAAGGTATTCAGTATCCAAAAGGCCAGTCAAACTCTCATCCCCCCTCAACAATCTGTGTGAGCGTGAATAACCAGCCCGTGGTTCCACAGCCGGAACGGAATCCACATTGTTCCTCATCAGTCTGAGGTTCGACTATCAGTTGGAGTCTTCTTTCCAGCACCTTGGCATAAACTTTGCCAGGAAGGCTGAGCAGTGTGATACCCCGGTGGTTGGCACACACTCTCTGATCCCCTTTCTTAAAAATAGAGACCACCACCCTGGTCTGCCAGTCCAAGAGTACTGTTCCTGAGGTCCATATGACATTGTAGAGGCATGTCAGCCACAACAGTCCCACAACATCCAAAGCCTTAAGCATTTCTGGGTGAATCTTATCCACCCCTGGTGCCTTGCTGCTGAGGAGCTTGCCAATTACCTCAATAACCTCCACCAGGGAAATGGAGCCTAACATGCCAGAAGCCTCTAGCCTCAGGCTCCTGTTAATCAGAGATTCTCCGCCTCCACCAAGTCCAGCTTGGGCAAAACAACCCCGACCGCTCCTGAGTCACCAGATGTTTGTCCAGAATCTCCTTGAAGCCAAGTCTTTTTCCATGGCCTCGCCAAACTCCTCCCATGCTCTGGATTTTGCTTCAGCCAATGCTGCTGCTGCCACCTTTTTTGCCCAGACCATGCTCTGTCTGTTGAGTCTGGAGTCCTCCAGGCCATCCAGTCCCTAAAGGCCTTCTTCATCTTGACAGAATCCCTTGCCACTGGTGTCCACCAGGAGGTTCTTGGGTTACTGCCCTGACATGCACCAACAAGCTTTTGGCCACAGCTACGCCTGGTGTGTTCCACAATGGAGGTTTTGAACAGGGTCCTTTCAGACTCCATGTCCCCAACCTCCTTCAGAATATGAGAAAAGCTCTCCTGGAGGTGGGAGTTGAAATCATTCTGAACAGGGGCCTCTGACAGTCGTTCCCAGCACACCCTCACTATTCGCTTGGGCCTCCCGGGTCTGACCATCAGTCTTCCCTGCCATCTGATCCATTTCACCACCAGATGGTGATCGGTTGACAGCTCAGCACCTCTCTTCACCCGAGTGTCCAAACCATATGTCCCAAGTCAGATGAAATGACAACAAATTCGATCATTGACCTTTGATCCAAGGAGCTCTGGTACCACATACACTGATGATCATCCTTGTGTTCGAACTTGGTGTTAATTATGGACAATCCATGCCTACAATGGAAGTCCAAAAACAATTCACTATTCAAGTTTAGATCGGGCAGGCCATTCTTCCGAATCACCCTCTCCAGGTTTCCCAGTCAACATGAGCATTGAAATCTACCAGCAAGACTATTGAGTCTGTAAGCAGGGCCCTTTCCAGAACCCTGTCTGCTCGCTCCAAGAAGGGCAAATACTCTGAACTGCTGTTTGGTGCATAAGCATACACAACAGTCAGAGTTTTCCTCCCTGTGATTTTAAGGAATCAAGGAGTTTGGTTCCAGAGCCAACACTGTGGGTGAAGGTGAGCCCAACTATATCTCATTGATACCTCTCAACCTTCTGCACAAGCTGTGGTTCTTTCCCCCAGTGAGGTTATGTTCCATGACCAAGAGCCAGTTTCCGCCACAGGAGTTCATGTCGCCAAGGACCTCCCTGCCATTTCCCACCGCCTATACATAAATATTTTTCCTTTTCATTCAATATCAAAGCCAAATCAGCAGCTTCAGTGAGATGACAGGATAATTCAAACACTAAATCAAAAAGATTTTATTATTTATCATGATGCAAATTACATATTTTATCTAAACAGACATATTTAACAGCTGAGCTCTTTATTCAGTATAACCTGGGCAATGTCTCATTTACATATATTATGCAAAGTTAATTTGTAATACTACCAAATATGTGTGTGCAATTATGTTTCTATGTCTGTAGATGAAGTTAGTGAAGGAACTGGAGGTGGCTGACTGTGTTCAGGGCCAGTTTGCAGCAACTGTAACGTCTGTAGCAGATCTGAATGGAGATGAGCTGCAGGATGTAGCTGTTGGAGCTCCACTGGAGAACAATGGCAGAGGAGCTGTTTACATCTACCTTGGGAACCGCACACAGGGTATACGTCCACAGTACAGCCAGGTACTTCCCACAACCTTAATATAACACAGTATCTCTAACTCTAAACTACAATAAAAAACACACCAAGACCCCTGTACATCTAGATATGTTCACATCCCCAAAGCAGCACATAATGTAAACTCCTAAACCCAAACACAAGACTTGGTCTTATTTTCCTTTGTATTTAAGGACAGGCTAAAGGAAACCCATGTAGGGAACACAGCATTAGAGTGAGATTAGAGAAGTTTAGAAGATTGAAGCCAAGTTATTTTGCTGAATTCTGGATGATTTGGAAGGACATCATGGCCTGAACAGAAAGACGAGCCAGCACCCAGCTGCAGGAGCCAAGTTTTAAGATGTCAAGTTACTACTATGTTGAGTCATTACTTTTAAGGCTGACAACTACCAATGACTGCAGAAAGGTCATCAGCGGCTCTGATGATGATTTAGTTGAGTTACTGAGAAGCTTCTAGGAGCTTCTCAGTAACTGCCATGAGAGCCTTCTTGTCTGTTGTTGAAGACAACACATTTAAGGTGTTTGGAGAGGAAAAAAATGAAGTAATATGGAACATTAGTTGTGGATATTAAAGGTCTGTTGCAGGCTATTTCAGGATGACTACAATCTTGAAGGCAGTTGGTATGAGATATGATGTCAGAGAACTGTTAATGAAATAGATAATTGTGTACAGGACATGGTTCAGTGGACAGAATTACTAGATGTTAGTTACAGCTGTAGAATAGTAGCTGTAGAGAAAGAGCAGAGAATTATTGGAGATTAGAGATCATGAATAGACCACTGTTTGGAGGATTGGAGAATCTTGAAGGATGCAGGCAAAACGATGCATTTTAGGAAGATACTAGAAAATGCTCATTTAACCTAGGTGTGGGCAAAATGACAATATTTTATTCCAGTATCAATATCATGACAAACTTTGTGGAAATAATAAGCTCCAAAGCACACAGACCACATGCATGTTTAATTAAAATATAAAACTAATTATTATATTAAAACTTACAATTATTCTACTAATCTAGTGTTATTACCACTTGTTAAATGAACACAGTCCTGTGAGATTAGATTTAGTGCAATGAAGTGTTAAATAAAATGATTGCACTCATCACTTATTTATGATGGCATTATCTCTGATCTCGAAGTTAATCTGTATCGATGCATAGGGCAGTTGGTGATGTAAAACTGTTTGTATTTGTAGCGAATCCTGGCTCAGATGATTTCTGAGCAGCTGCAGCAGTTTGGTGTGGCGATCGATGGTGTCATGGACATGGAAGGAGATGGACTAACAGACATTGTCGTGGGAGCACGAGGGACTGTGATGCTGTTAAAGTAAGAACAACTACACAACAAAATAACAAACTATTTTAACAATTAAGCAACCAGCAAGTGAACCAACCACATAACTTTAACATAATAAAATAAACAACTGATTTATGCAGCTCATTTTGATAAGGTCTTACAAGAACTGGGACTACTGTGTGGTAAATGAGTGTAGAAAGAAATACTGTTGCTGGCATTCTACAAACAAAAACAGATCTAAATCAGTGTTACTTTTTCCCACACTGGGGAAAAAGGTCATTTAGACAGCCAACTATGTTGCAAGTCAAAGAACTACGAATTTTATGTTAACTGTATCTATAATGTGTTCCTGTGAAGTGTTTCTATAACACAGTTACTTACATCTGTGTTGTATCTGGTTCTTTCAGGGCTCAACCAGTTCTGTCTGTTTCTGCAAACCTCAGTTTTTCCCCCTCTGAAATCAGCCTGGACAACTTTGACTGCCTGGTAAAAACTGAGAACACAATACCTGTTGCTACCCTCAGTATCTGCTTCGGTGTGAAAGAGGACACCCACAGTACAGGTGTGCTAACCTGCAGTGTAGTTAAACAGTGAAAAGGCACACATGCTCACCTAGCAGTTCTCCATTATTGTGTTTTGTTCACTCATGAACTTTTGCTCTTCCTCTTAGGAGTAGTGAGACGTGGTCTGAATGTGTCATTCGAGCTCAGTGCTGATTCTGTGAAACAGTGGAGTAGAGCATTTTTCCAGCCGACAAACAATCAATCCAGGAATCTCCTTAATTCTGTGCTGCTGGACTCACATTGTTCCTGCTTCAACCAAACACTCTACATGGAGGTGCGTTAAAATCACATCTAACCCAGGAGTTCCCAAAACTGATCGCTGCACTCCCTAGCACACCTGTATTAGTCATATCCGCTTTCACTAACTGCATCTTCCCATTACATGATCCTCCAATTTGGGAGGCTGAAGGCTTGCACATGCTTCCTCCAAAACCAGAGCTGCTGGAAGTATAAACATAGAACCTGAATGTACTACTACAGCCCCTAGAACATTAAAGTACCACTAAAGCAGAGACTGTCATCTCTTTTGTAAAACCTTGTAAAAGCTAATTTCCTGATGAGGACACACCAGGCTGACATGGCAACAGTTTAATTCATAGTTTTATATGTAGGGCAAGAATACAATTCTCATTTTTGTTACAGGATGCATATAGTTTTTTACAACTGATATTCCACATGTATTTACCTAAAATGTTAATACCTCTTTTTTAAAAATATTAAATATGGTACTGAAAGCCCGTTCTCAGACTTAGAGGTGAACATTTAATAACTTTCAGAAGGCCATCACCATTTTGCTGAAAATTTTATTCAGTAGTTAACATTGATCTCATTTTTACCAGAAAGGGAACCTTAACACCCATCATCTACACCTCAATGCCAGACATGCATCCCCTCAAAGTATAGCTAGTAAAGTCTCTTGAGCGTAGCTCTCCCCTTTCTGTAACTTTTTTGTATCTGGTGCTAACAAAGGCTGGAATTCCCTTGATGATCTCAGACCTGGCCAACTGCATCTCTTGTCTTTCTGGTCTACATTAGCTGTTCTTACACTACAAAGCTTAGCAAAATGCCCTGCTGCCTTGAAATGGGTAGGACTGCAGGAGGAATCAGACTGAGGTTCCATGTTTGATCTCCACAAACACCTATTTGTCTGTTGTGTCTATCTTCTGTGCCACTCCTTCCAGTTCCACTCTTTCCAGAGTCAGCAAACCTGCACATTTTCAACAAACTGATCTCTTACAGCATCTTGAAAGGATTCAAGGATTTAACTGGGGGTCAAATCATGGGGGGGTCCATCATGACTTTCTCATTAACGTATATTGCTCAACTTTTACAAAGGAAACACTTAAGGGCATCCCACCAGAAGTTCCACAAATGGCAGCCTGATTTAACCACTGCATCTACATTTCATCCTCAGACAACAGCACCTTTTATGAAGTACAAGAAGAGGCATAACACCCCTTATGACCATCTCATTACGTGTACTGCTCAACTTCTCTCTCCTTAATGGTCTTTTAGTCACATTATCTTCCTGTTTCAGAAGTGTGTGAAGGACACCTCATCACCTGTGTTGATCCAGCTGAATTTCTCCCAGGCTGAGCAGCAGCCAAGCAGCTCCAATGCTGTTCTTAACATTGACAGCAGAACAGAGGCTTATGTGGAGGTGAGCCATCTATGAAACCAAGTTACCATCAATCTAGACATTAAAGGGAAGTTTGGCCAATTATTGATAAATGTAGGAAAATGAGAAAGGGTTCCAACAGGGATTCCAGTGAGTTTCAGATTCTTCCTGTAATTAGACATTCTTGTGAAATTTAAAGTGTCTTTTACTGATGCTAGCTTCAGTCTTCAAAGTGACTACCTGGGATAGTCAGTATAAATCTGTTGGGCATCTAGTAGAATCATCACACAAAGAAGGGCTTTTCCACCCACAATAGTAGAACATTTTTTAAATGTATCATTTCTGACCTGTCTATGACCTGTTTACTCTTGTGGTTCCAGGTTCCCTTCCAAAGAAAATAGGAATCTGAGCTGTGTGGTGCATCTAGATCTTGTAAGATTCTCATCTGACTGAAACACACATGGGTAGATTTGGAGTTGGGCTTTATGAAACAGTGTGATGTATTTGTTGTTCACTTTCAGGAACAGCGCATTGCTGGTTGTGTATGCTGGGATGTCTTTGTAGTGACATGCCTGATGAATCCAGGCCCTTATCTGAAAGGGAGGAGCTCTAAAAGCCTCGAAAATAAATTGATTTTGGTTTCTAATTTTCATACTCTGTTATTATAAAAATAAACAATGCGAGACTGCATCCCCCATGATAAAGTCTGCTTATCTGTCTGTTGTTTCCATTACCCCTCCTCCCCCACCTCTAAAGTAAAAGTGTTTGATCCTCTGATGTGTACTTTTATCATGTAACCGATAAAGTTTTTGGCTATAGAGAGCAGTTAAATGTGAATGTCTGTGTATGTATGGCTGCCCTGTGATGGGCTGGCGACCTGTCCAGGGTGTTTCCTGCTTTCCGCAGGTGAGCGCTGGGATAGACTCCAGCCCCTCTAAGCGGCTTAGATGATGATGATGATGATGATGATGAGTGCAGTTAGTGGCTGTCTATAAATTCTAAACTGGTTAAAACAGAACCAACATCAGGAATTCAAAAATGAAATGACCGAACCAAGAGCGAAAGAGAGAGCAAAAAGAGGGCATGCAACTCCTGACCTTTTTCTTTCAGAAAACAGTCCTAAGTGCCAAAAAGTAAATGTATAGTAACAAGTGAACTAGTGAACAGTGCAGCAAGTAAGTATTAAAAGCAGTAATATTACAAACAGTTACACACTTATTATTTCAGATTTTCCTCTGTTTTACCGCGATCAGCTTTACAAATAAAACTCATAAAACACATACAGGTTCACTGATGGTTTTGATCTGCTTGATCTTATTGCGGCATTTGACACACCCTATCTTACTAGATAGACTAGAAAACCTTGTAGGAGTAACAGGAATATCTCTTTCCTGGTTCAGATCTTACCTCACTGATCACTATCAGTTTGTTATTATAAATGGTGAATCATCTGTTGTTACAAAAGTAAAGTATGGTGTTCCACAAGGCTCTGTTTTAGGACCTGTATTATTCACATTATATATGCTACCACTGGGCACCATTATCAGCAGAAAAGTTAGTTCATGCGTTTATTACCTCAAGGCTAGATTACTGTAATGCCCTGCTGGCTGGATGTTCCAGCAAAAGCCTTAACAAGCTTCAGTTAGTCCAGAACGCTGCAGTCAGAGTCTCACAAGAACCAGAAAGTTTGACCATATCAGCCCAGTTCTATCACTGTTTACCAGTTAAATTCTGCATTCAGGTACATTTCTTTTTCTGACATAGAAATTTCTTTTACTGACATATAAAGCTTGGAACTATTTTAGCTATTTTAGACCTGGAACCTACACTAGAGTTTTGTTTGTGGACTTCAGCTTGGCATTCAACACTATAATGCCAGAGCTCCTGCACGTCAAACTGTCCCAGCTGTGGTTGCCAGATCCCATCTAGGCAGAAAAAGGAGTATTTTGAGATTGAACAAAAGAGGTCAGAAAGCCTAGAAATAAAGATATAGAAATAAGACGTACATAAGTGTAATACAGTGTATTCCCATATGTGCTAGATTAGTGCTTCACAAAGAGAAAGATCTTCATTTGGGTGTTTGAAGATGGTGAGGAACCATGTGTTCTGAAGGATACTGGGTTAAGCTGAGCTGTACTTGAAGCTTGAAGGGTTTTGACCATTGCCATCAGGTAGGGAGGGGCTTGGACTTTGAGACAGGCTGATGACCTCCAGTAAAAACAGTGATGTGGTTCATTGGCCTCAAACTAAGCAAAGTAAATTGCAGTTTCAGACAGAGACAGATTTGGTTCTTGGGCTATGAATGTTTATAAAAAGTGAAAAAGTGTAAATAAACCTACAGAAAATACAGCACAGGGCGTTTTTGTTTGAGTTTGATGAATTATTTTTTCTTTCAGCAAGACAAGCATTAATAACACTGCTGTCCTACAGAAGACAGCAAAGACGTTCTTAACCTTTGAATGTAACTTAATGTAAATAGTTTTTAACCCAAGTGATTTTGGAACATTTTTATTGGTCTACTCATCATTAAATTTCCAAACTATGCAAAGAGTAGCTGCCATGTTCAAATGATGTAGAAGAATATAAACTGACAAACATTGAGATTTGTTTTTTTTACATAGTGAAGACATGCAGGTCTATGTGTTTAACCGGCTTGACCGGTTGACCCTGCAGATGGTCTGTTCTCGCTTTGCCCAACTGGATGCCCATCTGGACGACTATTTTAGAGTTTGTTCCACCACCTGGGCTCCACGACAGAGAAGGGTCTTGATGCTTGTCTTTCACATGTCTTGAAGAATGAAGGGTCAAGCTGGCTGAGCTGTTGACCATCAAGAATATAGCTAATGACCACCAAAAGCCAGCTACTAACAAAAGCTGATAAACTCCCCACTGAAGCTGGCAGCTGATTGGTTACTGCGTTGTTGGTTCTATATAGGGTTGATCTGCCACTTAGAAGGTGGTTGTATTCTGCTGCCAGTTCTCTGTTTAGATTTTCTGCACATCTTTAGCTTCAAACTACAACACACTTAACTCTCATTACTCAGAGTTGTCCCCACCCAGCTGGCCTGATTCTGTGCCCACTTGGGTGCCCCTCAGTCTGTCCACATCACTATAGAGAAAGAGAAAGTAAGAGGAGCTGCTGTGATTCTCTAGTGTTGTACAGCTGGAAAAACGTCAGAAGCACAGTATGTTAAAGTTTGGACTTAACAGGTTCTCTGTTGTTTTATAAGTTCAGGGAAATGTGTGGACATGTCAAAACGTGCAGAGAGGCAGGATTGAAAATGTGAGTGCGCAGCTATTACACACTGAACGGTAAGAGCAACAGCGCATTCAGAGCCGAGACAAAGGAGCCATTCACTCACAGTAAAAAGCTTTAAATGGCCCAATGTCCTGTCAGTGAACACAAACAATTAGTATTATTTTCATAGTGCAAGTTTAGAGGTTAGGGTTTGGGACAGACTCCAACAGAAAGAACCCTATAAATGATGATTTTTGTACAGCATTTATTTATTTATTACTATTTTTATTAATGCTTTGTCTTTAAATAGACCAGAACGGCATCCTTGTAAACATCTAAGCTCTGAAAACTTCATTGTTTTTTTTAAAATAGTGTTTTTACTGTAGGAGTGCAGTTTGAGCTAACTCAGCAGAATGCTCCATACATACGTGATGTCACAAATCACCATTGATTACCGCATCTCGGCTCTGTGCCTCCCTCTGTTGGCTGGCCCTGGTATTGCATGCGACCCAGCCCTGAGTTGTTCTCATAAGATTTAATACATTTATTCATTATTTAATTCTGATACTTACATCTCCCTTTACTGAACTGAAATAAAGGTGAAAATCCTTGTTGGTTGAAAATGTATTGTTTATTGAATGCAGTCAATCTGAAATGCATTTAATGACACTAAAGTTTCTATTGTTGAGACTCATGAATAGTTTTATATAAAAGCTAATTCTAATCAAGACTGTTATGATAGCTGTGAATATTTCAGCTGGTGGTGAGATTGACAGTTCAGCTGATTCATGGAAAGAATGTTTTTAACCCTCAATAACCGTTTAATGCCACATTCCTAATGTAGCACATGTTTAATGCTAATAATCGGCATAAAACACAACACATGCTGGGGTGGGTTGAGCCCCCCACTAAAGGGGCAAGATGACCCCTCCTACCCGGGGTACCCACAGAAATAACTTGTATGAATGTAAATCAACTAAGCCCCACATTTCTTTATAATCAAACAGATTGTCCATTTTTCATAAAAAAAAAACAAAAAAAAACGTCGCTTAAAGCCACCCTGGCAAATTAATTATTAATTCTTATAATAGTTTTAAAAATTAAATATTAGTTTAATTAATTGTATATTATTATTATTATTATTATTATTATTTCAACAGTACATGACTGAGATGCCCTTGAGCAAGGCACCTAACCCCAACTGCTCCCTGGGCGCCATGGATAGGGCTGCCCACCGCTCTGGTCAAGTGTGCTCACTGCCCCATAGTGTGTGTGTTCACTAGTGTGTATGTGGTGTTTCACTGCACAGATGGGTTAAAGGCAGAGGTGAAATTTCCCCGTTGTGGGACTAATAAAGCTCTGAAATGTTGGTCGCTTGTCTCCGTGTGAGCAGCTTCACGAACCGATTCCTCAAAGTCGCACCTAAAACCACACACAGTCACAACCACCGCTCCACATTAGCGGCAGCGGCGTCGTGTATTTTGAATGTACTGCAATAATTACTTTATATAAATATTTGTATTTTAACCTTCAAAAGCATTTCAGCTGCATAAACTGCAGTGAATGCTGCATTTTGAATCTAAGCAGTATTTTAGCTACAGTATATCCTCAAGTACAATTCAAAGTTTATGTGTCATTACTGAAACTTACCTGCACCAAACACTGCTGATTTAAATGTTCAGTGTCTAAAATGTTATCGAAATTCAAAATGAAAAAAATGTAAAAGATTTAAATCTGACTCAACTTTTGATTTGCAATTTGATCCACTTAAATAAGACGTTTTCTTTTCTACACTTTCATTTTTTAAACTAATATTTTAGATGATCTATTGAACCTTCAAGACTGCTAATGTCTGTCGATTACCGAACCTCCGTCATCAAGCTAACTAGCTATATCAGTATACAGGTAGTATCAGTTTTTACAGGTAAGGTACGCTCAGTACTGTTAGGACAAGTATTGGCAAGTACATTTTAGTCACAGGTTAATTTAAAGTCCTTTCTCTATATTAAAGTGGTTTGTATTTCTAACCATAATTTAGAGCAAATTAAAAACACAATTAATCAGATGTGCATGGACACAGTGTTTATGGAGCTATTGACGTTCTACTGTCTGGCGGTGTCTATTGTTAGCATGAACAATTAAAATATGTATTTAAATGCACTGAAACGCTTTAGAGGAAAACAGAGGCGTGTGCATGGATGTAGGCGTGGTCTAGAAGTGCATGATTTTTCTTCTGACTGAAAAATTTGTCTCAGTTCTGTGGTATTAGCACAAAATAGCGGTACATTAAATGTCACCCAAACTGTAAAAGAACAGGTGTCCGTCACTCTCTGTGATCGGACTGTCATGAACATGCAAGTCTTCGCTGACTAAAGTAGTCCGATCAAATGTTATTAGCGCCGAAAAGACGAATATCGAAAATAAAACTAACTTTACCGTGGTGCGTCAGTAGGGGCTGCGTTTCACGTGCAGTGTGAGCGCCCATGTCACGTCATGTCAGACGGACCGGGTGTTTTCGTACAGTATGAGTATCTAA